CTGGGTAAAAAAAAAAAACACTTTTTCCCCCTTTGAACACTTTGTATTTTATATTATGAAACATTTAAAATATATTGGCACAGTAAACATGTCAGGCTAAATAATCCAAATAAATCATTCGTTTTAAAACAAAGATTTCTTTACAACTTTAAAAAGGCATCTTTGGAGATCTTTTTGGGCTGCGTGAATTCACAACGTTTTTAGCCTGTTGTTTCTATTTTTTTTTATTTTTTGCTTTTGTTTTACCTGGTTGTTTTACCTGGTTTCTGGAGTCGAACCCCGTCGTCGTGATCAACTCAGCTCTGCATTCCAAGTCCATCAGCGTACACAGCGAGCTACTGAGCAAACCGCTAACACTGGAAAAGGTGTCCATATGAAGGTAAGTGGTCAGCTGGAACAGCTAAAAGGAACAGAAGCCAAGTGTTTATTTTAAAGTCAAAATGCAGCCATACGTACCTTTAGCTACATAATTTGCGCTCTCCAGAAATGTAGACAGGGGTACGTATCAACAATAAGCCTGTGTTAACGGTTTCAGTCACACTTTGGTCTATGGCCAATTTGAGATCGTGGTTTGATATGTTCACCAACAGCTTAACTGCTGTTGCGCTTAATCTTTTCAATCAAGATTTGAGAAATTTTCCTGCATGAATCTAGTGATGCAATCAGTGCAACAACCTGTGAAATCACCTCAGGAATCTGTCAAAACTGCTTTTTTTGTTTAGTTTTATTATTAAGGCCCATTGTGAGCAAAATTATCAGAAATTTCAGAAAACAAGGGTTACGAACAGGTCATGTGTTAATGACTTCAAACTCCAGTAACTGTAGATGGTTCTCCAATTTTGATCTACACTAAACAGTTCGTTTTTGATGGAGAGACTTACAAAGAAAGTTTTTCTGGTGCTATTATTTGAATAATTCTGCACTTATATTGAAGTCACATTGTCCGAATCATCTCCAAGCAGTGAGGCACGAGGCTCCTGGATATTTTTAAAACTTCTGACAAGACGCACACTGGCTGTTATTCCTCAAAGCTTTAAGTGCAATCCCCTGTTTCCACTTGTACACCGGCAACTCTGTCCATCTGTTCCATGTAACCTCAATGGAAAAAGAAAAAGCTTTAAATATAGTTTTTTTTATTAGCACAGTAACTTTAGACTGTTTAGGGATAAGCCTGATTTCACTGGTGCAATAATTCACTTCACTTTTTCCCAAGACCAAGATAAACAAGACACTGAGTATTTCCCTCTCTCGCCTTACAGAATGCTCTTGTTTGGCTGATCCAAAGACAGTTTTGATATAACTTGTAACACTAGAAGCATGAACATATGAAGCTGTTATCCCATATAGACATTTGATACACGAAAAATATGCAGATTTCATCCACTGTAAAAAATGCTGGGTTCCACACAACCTGTTTGTGTTGGAGAAATATGAAGGAATTAAAGTTAACTTATTAGTTTTTACACATTTAAGTGGATTGAACATAAAACAATTAAGTCCCCCCCCCCCCCCCCCCAAAAAAAAAAACTTTAAGATGTTTTAATGTTTTAGCTTAATTTTATAAGTAGTTAGAACAAACAGTAAACATAATTTTATTGAGTGTTTATTACATATAAGTTCTTATTAGAATTTCATTCATTTATTTTGCTTTGGCTTAGTCCCTTTATTAATCTGGGGTCGCCACAACAGAATAATCCGCCAACTTATCCAGCATATGTTTTACACAGCGGATGTCCTTCCAGCTGCAACCCAGTACTGAGAAACACCGTTACACTCACACACATACACTACGGGCAATTTTGTTCATTCAATTCACCTATAGCGCAAGACTTTGAACTGTGGGGGAAACTGGAGTACCCGGAAGAAACCCACGCGAACACAAGAGCATGCAAACTCCACACAGAAAAGCCAACTGACCAGAGCCGGGACTCGAACCAGTAACCTTCTTGCTTTGAGGCAACAGTGCTAACCACTAACCTCAAAATATTGCAAAAAAAAGGCTGCTTACATACATGTTATTCCAACCTTTAGAATTTCTACGTACATCTATATTCAAATTTATATAAGGTCATATATGAACACATATAAAATAGGGAAGTCCTGATACAAAACAATGTAAATATCGCTTGACGTGAAGTAAATAAACCAGTAGAGATGTGCCGTTGTTGATAGTGTCAGCATGTATGCACCATAACTTAGTGTGAAGAGCATGTTAAATCTTAAAGGGACTTTGCTAGCAAGCAGTGTTGTGATCAAGTGGGCTTTGCACGCTGCTGGATAGAATAACAGTGACAGACTTTAGAGCGCAACGGACTGCTTATATCGGAGATTTTTAACGCAGTCCGATATAGTTATTTTGGACTGATATCAGACCTACTTCTGATATTAATATCGGATCGGGACATCCCTAATATACAAGATTAAAGCTAATATACAGTGGGTACGGAAAGTATTTGGACCCCCTTATATTTTTAGCTGTGCCCTTAGCACACAGCTAAAATAACGAAGGAATGGCTTCACAATAACTCTGTGACTGTTTTTGAATGGTCCAGCCAGAGCCCTGACTTAAACCCAATTGAGCATCTCTGGACATCGCTGTCCACCAACGTTTACCATCCAACCTGACAGAACTGGAGAGGATCTGCAAGGAGGAATGGCAGAGGATCCCAAAATCCAGGTGTGAAAAACTTGTTGCATCTTTCCCAAAAACACTCATGGCTGTATTAGATCAAAAGGATGCTTCAACTAAATACTGAGCAAAGGGTGTAAATACTTAAGACCATGTGATATTTCAGTTTTTCTTTTTTAATAAATCTGCGAAAATTTCAACAATTCTGTTTTTCTTAACTCAGATGATTTTAGCAAATGGTTGCATTATAACAAAGAGTGAAAGATTTAGGGAGTCTAAATACTTTCCTGACCAACTGTATATTTTATCTATGTGAATTCCAAATATGATCTTGTATGTCATATATTTAATTTGCTTATATTGCCATATATCAAATTTGTAAGTGGGATGCATTAGTCATTAACTCCTGCTATTTTTTCGCTAATCTCGATTCATTAATTCTGACGTTATACTATGAGAACTACTTTCACTGTGTGTGTGTGTTTGGTTTAATGACTTTGTGGTCACCATCTGTGACTGCAAGTCTTTCAAACAAAGCAAAAATGATTAATAAGTCTTTAAAAGCAGACGACTTGCGGAGCTGCTGGGTGCATTAGTCTGATAACTGAGCCACTGTAAAGCCTAATGAAGCTAAAGTCAACGTTTTCAGCTTCTAACCAGCTGCTGTGAATTTTTCCCTATGCGGTCGTAAAGGGACGCGAGCAGGGTTACCTCATTTAACACAAGCTGCCAGGGCCACCTGAAATATTTGTGTTGATACAGCCTCAACTAAAGAGCTTTTTGCTCAACTCTTTTTTTCCTCTCCAGAGACGCCTAAAAGCTAGAACTTGTAGTCCAAGGAACACAACGTTCCTGACCGCTGCTGTAAGCTGATAAAAATAATGTCAGCTGTTTATAATAACTGAAACTGGTTAAAGGATAAAACTGTGTGCAGACATAGCACACTCCACAACGAACACACAATGCATTTTAAAAATGTACAATAGAAATATCCTTTGATATATTTTAAAATACAATTAATCCTGAGATGTATCAAATATATAAATAAAATAAAATATATACAGTTAAAGGGGTAACTGTATATATCCTGTTCTGGATCTGGCCAACTGTTGTGAAGGGTGTTTTCTTCACGAGGGAAAGAATTCTTCTGTCGTCCACCACAGTTGTGTCCGTGCTCTTCCGGGTCTTTTGTTTTTGCTGAGGTCACTGGTGCACTCTTTCTTTTTAAAAATGTTGCAAACAGTTGTTTTGGCCACACCTAATGTTTATGCTTTCTCTCTGATGGATTTGTTTTGTTTTTTTCAGCCTAATGATGGCTTCCTTGACTGACAGTGACAGCTCTTAGGATCTCATCTTGAGAGCTGACAGTAACAGATTCCAAATGCAAATAGCACACTTGAAATGAACTCTGGACCTTTTATCAGCTCATTGTAATTGGGATAATGAGGGAATAACACACTTCTGGCCATGGAACAGCTTAGAAGTCAATTGTACAATTACTTTTGGACCCTTAACAAGTGGGAGGCACATTTCCAAACTGTTAGAATTCCTGCACTGTTCACCTGATTTGTATGAAAATACCCTCAAATTAAAGCTGACAGTCTGCATTTAAAACACATAGCTTCATTTCATTTGTGTTGGTGTATATAGCCAAATATTAGAATTGTGTTAAAGTCCAAATATTTATGGGCCATTTTTATGTCACATGATCCTGCAGAAATCATTCAATTTGTTGATTTTCTGCTCAAAAAACATTTGTTATTACTATTAATGCAAAAAGAGTAGTAATGCTTAATGTTTTTTTAGGAATGTGTACCTTTAGAGATTCTATGATTAAAGGAAAGTTTAAAAGACATTCATGTATTGCATAAACTTTATTAATTCTATGCTTTCTCTTTTGATCTTTAATCAATTAATGTGTTCTCTAGACAAGTATATAATTTTAAATATATATATATATATATATATATGTGTGTGTGTGTGTGTGTGTGTGTGTGTGTGTGTGTGTTTACATATAAACATATGTACATATACATATTTACTGATTGTCTTTGATCTCACTGAATCCATAGTTTAGAAATTAGAATAGTCACATATTAATGTCTAAAGTCACAAGCTTGATAACGTACATTCATGGAGTTGTTATCAGAAAAGAAACACCTTCAGGGTGATTTAAGGGTCCTTGACTTTATATCTAGGCTCGGTTAAGCCTGTCTGGGTTTATTTTGTGATAATGACTAGCTGAGAGAGCGTTATCCCTTCATTTAATTAAAACTTAATTTTAGCTACATTAGTCTCATTCTGAGCTTTGTGTCCTTCATTAAGATGCATTAGTCCGCCACCAAAAGCCAAGCAACAAACAACTTGAATTGGAACTTGGATTTTTAACATTTTATTTTTGTGCATTTTACACAGCATCATAATCAGATCTCTTCATGAAAAATATAATTAGTCTCTAATGCACTGTAAAAGATACCTGTTAAATAACAGATTCTGCATTTTGTGATTCAGAGGTGTTTTCTGTTTATTTATGGCGGTGAATTGCATTATGGGATGTTTTTCTCTACTCAGTCGACTTTTGATGATGAAAATTTAACTTTGCGGTTTTAACAGAGTGACTTTTTTTTTTTACCTTTTAGTAGTTTGAGACATAATATTTTTAAAGAAATAATATACAGGAGAACCAAGTTAACACAACTAAGAACCAAGGTAAAATAACAGAAAATGTACTGGCAGTTATTAACAGGCTTTTTGACCCTACTTTATAACACCAACCCCGATGATATAATACTTCAAACTAGGGTTGGGCGATGTTGACCAATTTGGCATAGTACAATGTCTAATGTGAAACATTGAGATGAACGATGGCATCGTCGTCGTAGGCAGTGCTGAATTAATCATTTATGAATAATTAATTTATTCAGAATGAAATATCACGCTTAACAACTATCAGCGATGGCATTGTCTCGCGACCCAACCCTACTTCAAACTATTAAAAATGTCAACTTTTCTACATCAAAAGCTTTTAGAGGAAAGGTCAAGCTCCAATAATGCAATTCAAAAGCCCAAATAAGTACAAAAAAAACACGAATCGCAAATCACGAAAAACTGTCAATACAGAGATATTTGTTTCAGTGTGGAGGTTGTGTCCATTCAGTCTTTAATGACCCAACTGAAGTCATATGTATCCAATAATGTCATTACAGACGATGGGTGTTCTGCTCCCAGACTTCATGAGTGCCGAAAACTGGTAGTAATCTGTGTCCAGTTCATTCAGACCTGTGTGGGATTTATAGAAGAACGGCATTTTGTGCTGTACATCGATTTGGCATGAGAGTCGTTTGGTGGGCACGATGGATTTGCTCAACTTTGTGACATCTGATGACTTCCTTCGCCCGTCTGCACTCCTGGAAAACCCGGCTATCCTCCGTTTGATGTTTACCAAGAAGTCTTTAGCAAAACTGCGCCCAGAACTGTGCTTTAGTTCAGTCTGTTCTGGACATTCTGGCAAGTCCATCCAGTTGTGAATGAGATCTGCAAAGCTGTTGTCTCCCAAAACAAGCGGCTGCCGGTTTCGTCCGCGGGTGAGCAGTGATGTAGTCCAGTCCTCGGGGTCACTTGCGGTCTCGAACGACGTCCAACTTTCCAAGCAAGCATCGGAGGTGGATTTAGGACGTGCTCGGGTGTTGGAGAGCTGGTTAGTGCGGAGACATGCAGTGGAGGATACACGAATGTTTTTAGTGCGTCGTAACACAACTCCTTCATCCTGCCAGGAGGCCTCAGAGTATCCTGAATCGAACTCCAGACTGCGCTCGCTGCTCGGGGAGCTGACTGCTGATGGGTCGCTCGCAGACTCTTCTTCCTCAAGAGAGCTTGACAAACAGCAGGCAGAGTCATAACTACTGGCCTCGCTGGCGTCGCTGATCCTCAAACGGGCCCGTCGTTCTCTCTGGGCGATCAGTTGTTTGCAAGCACGCAGTCTGACTGGGGGTCCAACAGGGGGCGCCACACAGCTCCGCCGCAAATGCTTCAGATCCTGCAGTGAGCGCATCATATAGCGCATCTGGTCCCGCAGACAGTCACCCGATTCCTGCAGACACAACTGGAAAGAGACAGAAAAACTGTTAGATTATGCGGTGAAAAAAAAAACAATTACAGCTTGTTCAAACTACTTATTCAGAATGAGCTGAATCAACTCAATTCTTAAGCTTGTTTTGGAGCAACTTAATTGTTTTATGTTCAATCTACTTTAACTAAGTTAACTTAATGGATTGTCTAGAAACAACATGAAGAAATAGTGTGGAACCCAACATTTTTTACAGTGTGCTGGGAAATTTAATGAAATAGGCTCTTAACTTTAAAATTAAAGTCTTAGTGAGTGTTGGGTAAGTTACTTCCTAAAATTATTTACAAATTACCTCATTAAAATGGTATTTAACTAAAGTTTTCACTGTGTCTGAAAGTAACTCACTTAATAAATTATTCAATTAATTTACTCTACACAACTTAAAATTTAAAGCATAAATGCACTACATATAAATCTCAAAACTACATATAAATCTATATATTTACTATATCACATATAAATCTACATACTACATGTAAATCTTAAAAAAAATCAATGTCACTGCTGCATAAACAGTAGAAATGACACTTTAGATCTGGGCCAAACAGAACCAAAACACACAACATTTCAAAGCAGCGACACAATATTTCATTCATTCCTTCCGCTTAATCCCTTTGTTAATCTGGGGTCGCCACAGCGGAATTAACCACCAACTTATCCTACAATTGTTTTTGCACTGGATGCCCTTCCAGCTGCAACCCAGTACTGGGAAACATCCATACACACTCATTCACACACATACACTATGGCCAATTTAGCTTAATTAATTCACCTGTACCGCATGTCTTTGGACTGTGGGGGAAACCCGGAGCATCCAGAGGAAACCCACGTGAACACAGGGAGAACATGCAAACTCCACACAGAAATGCCAACTGACCCAGCAGGGACTAAAACCAGTGACCTTCTTGCTGTGGATGACAGTGCTAACCGCTGAGTCACCGTGCCGCAAACACAATATTTTTTATGCATACCATATATTTGCATGAATTTCTGACTTTCTGTTCATAGTTACACAAGCATGTTCAATCTACTTGATAAACGAATTACTCTGATTTTCCTAATCGATTAATCCAGAACTGTTGAATTTATGGGTAACACTTTACAATAAGGTTCATTAGTTAATGCATTTACTAACATGAACTAATCATGAACAACACATATACAGCATTTATTAATCATAATTGAACATTTACTAATGCATTGTTAACATCCAAGTCCATGCTTGTTAACATTACTTAATGCTCCATGAGTTAACAAACTAACAATGAACTACTGTCTTTTCATTAATTAACGTTAACTAATAATAACAAATACAGTAGTAGATGTATTGTTCATTGTTTGTTCATCTTAGTAAATGCATTAATTAACATTAACTAATGAACCTTATTGTAAAGTGTGACCAATTTATGAATAGTATTTAAACAAGTACATCATGAGTAACTGTAATTAAATTGCCTGAAAATGAAAAGTAGCTCCTTGCTTTAATTTTCTGCGGAAAATTATTCTAATTACAGTAAATAGTTACTTTAAAATATTTACACTAAACACTGGACTTAGTATCTATAGATAACTGAGTTTTTATTTATTTTATAAATGATGTTTTTTGCAAATGAAGTGAAATAAAGTACTGGTCAAAAGATTGGGGTCAAACGTTTTAAAATAAGCTTTTCTTACTCCCCAAAGCTGCATTTATTTAATCAGAAATACAGTACAAATTGTAAAATTGTGAAATGTTATTGCCCTATAAAATAACTGTTCAAAAGCAGCTTATAATTTAATTTAACCATTTATTTCAGAGACTTTAATGATGACTTACCCGCTCCATTCTTTAGTCACATGATCCTTGAGAAATCACTCTAATAATAATTATTATAATTATTATTGTTATTATTATTATTATAATCAATGGTATTAGTAAGAAAAGCAGTATTGACTGGATTCATAATTTGATTTGAAACTACATAAAATTAGAAAGCAGTTATTTAAATTTTTTTTAATTTAATGTTTTTTTTTTTACATTTAATAAATGCCGCCTTGATGAACAATAATTTTCTTTAAAAAAATAAAAAATAAAAAATACTGTCCCCAAACTTTTGACCGGAAGTGTTAGTGTCAAATAAGTGTCTTTTTTTTCAAATGAGGATTTATGCTTCATCTGAAAAAGTTCATTTTCATTGATGTATGGTTTGTTAGGATAGGACAATATTTGGCTGAGGTATAAATGTTGGAAAATCTGGAATCTGATGCTTCAAACGATCTAAATACTGTAAAGATCGTCTTAATGAAGTGCACAGCAGGCACATTACTAATCAATCTTTTAGTTTTGTTTTTTTTACATTTACAAAACACATTCATGAAATATGATCTTTCCTTAATATTTAATGATTTTTTGCATACAAAACAAATAATTTTGACCCATACATTGTCTTTTGGGCAATTACCAAAAATACACCCATGCAACATAAGACCTGTAGTATGTACATACAATATGCATTTACATAATAGGATACAATTTGGATGTACACGGTTTGCATATATACAGTATATCCTTCTTTATTTATTCATGCTAAAATTTGACTTCATTTTCGTTCAATTTATGATAACTTGCTATTAATATTTAAATAAAACATCTCATCTCAAATTTGGGTCACACTCCCTTTGATTTTGTTTTCCTCGTATTGACTAATCGTGCTCCTTAGACAGGCTTGGACCTGCAGGAGCTCTGTTAGAGAGGGCATGGCTCTATTTGTCTGGAGGAGCTGAAAAACCACTCTAATCTATGCAGAGGGCGACCCAACAACTGATGAATGCACATTATGTGGACACACTCACGCCCAGCTATCAGAAAGGATGGATGACTACCACCTTCACATCTAAAATCTGTTAGAATAAACCTGTTAGTAGCCACACCTGGAAAACATCTTTTCAAAAGAGCAATTACCACACCTTCAATCCATACTGTCAGACACATGTACGAAAACATACAAATCATAATCAAGTAACGGAAGGGTGATCTCTTACTCACTTGAAATAGACAAAGTGACTCATTTTTTTGCAAGGAAGCTTCTTAGACTGAGGACTGAATTGAACTCAGTATCAAATAGTCAAGAAAATGGGGAAAATGTGACCTCATGAGTCTGTTTTAAATGGTTCACTACAGGCTAAGTTCCAGTTCCAAACACAACGAAAACATTACTGCAACACACAATGTTTTAGTACTACGTAATTGAGAAATTAACCAAAAAGCTAAAGGTGTGGATCAATTCTAATAGCAAATTTGGCACAATAATACAAACTTTACCAACATTGTAAGTGTTAACACCAAAGTCTTCCCACCTTTTGAAGCTTTTCTAACTTTCTAATCAATAAACACCGTAATAATTAGTATTTTTTGAATCTAAACACACCAGAATAAAGCCACAAAGGCATGCACACAACTGAGTGTTGGCATTATTTCAATGCACAGATTGCCGCGAGGTGCAGATGTCATTCCATATGCTGAAATTTCAACAACGGACATTTCTTTACTGCAACTAATCCTTTGCAACAGATTAAACATACAGTGATGCCCAATCAGTGGAGCTTTATCTATTTTAATTAAATACAACTCACGATCTCACTATCTATCCATCTATCTATCAAATTGAGTGCGTTTAATATCAGTGATGCCAAATGTAAAAAGCAATACCACATTTAGGACGACAATCGTGCAACTATCTATCTAAGTATCTATTTTACTATCTATTTATCTATCTATCTATCTATCTATCTATCTATCTATCTATCTATCTATCTATCTATCTATCTATCTATCTATCTATATTAAGCATGAGCTACTTTTCCTTTTTAGGCTAAAGATTTATATAAAAATATAAAAATACTTAATGTATATATTTAAATAATATCCATCTATCTATCTAAGCATGAGCTACTTTTCCATCTTACGCACTTAAAGACTTCTTCACTGCAACTAATCCTTGGCAACAGATTCGTACAGTGATGCCCAAAAACTCCCAAAAAGTGTGGAGAGGTGATATTTTGGACAAATGCCTACCATTATTCACAAACAATGACAAGAATCAGAGATGCCAAGTGTAAAAGGCAATATCAAATATATAATGACAGTTGTGTAATCCATCTATCTCTCTAAGCATGAGCTACATTTCCATCTTTCACACATAAATATTTATTCACTGCAATAATCCTTTGCAACTGAATACACATACAGTGACGCCCAATCAGTGCAGCTTTACCAATTTTAATTAAATACAAAGTCCCAAAAAGTGTGGAGAGGTGATATTTTAGAGAAATGCTTACCATTATTCTTAATAATGACAGTCCAGAAATGAAGTCCAGCAGTTTTAGATACTCCTGAAAAAGAAATGAATGCTTTATGAGACATAAAACACAGTAAACTAATACAATCAATTAAAAAATGAATTTATTAGATGCAATGAACTATTAGCAGATAAAGAAAACAAGCTCCTCAGATGGAGTATCAAGACTTACATTTGCTGGAAAGCCCCTCAAAAAAAGCAAAATCCTTCTGTACAATCCTGTGCAGATGTGGCTCTTGTGACTCAAACTCCAGATCCTGAGCCCCTCTGTGCAGCCCAGCGCATATGTGCTACTCCAGCATGCGCGTCTCCGCCAATCGCGGCGCAGCATCCCTGCGCTCTCCAATCAAATCATCGCAGCGAGAGCCAATCACGGCTCGCATGAAATCTGAGCGCTCATTTCCTCCCTCTATCAAATTTTGAGTAATGCCAATTGCCAAGTGTAAAAGGCTTTATCAAATGTATAACGAGTTATCTATCTATCTATCTATCTATCTATCTATCTATCTATCTATCTATCTATCTATCTATCTATCTATCTATCTATCTATCTATCTTTTAAGTATGAGCTACTTCCATTCTATGCTAAAGATTTGTTTTAAAATACTGAAATAGTTAAAGAATGTATATAATTAAATAACGTTATTACTTTAAATATTTTAATAGTTGTATTATTTTTATTATTGTTTTTTTCATGTGTTGAATTGTTTGCATGATGGTACGAATGTTAAGTGTCAAACATTCTCTAAACAAACAAACAAAAGCAGACCAATAAATAGCATAGTTCTGCTACATTTAACCATAGTTTATATTTGAAGCAAATCTATGTTTATGCAAACTAATATAACTTCGTTTATATAGTTTGTTTTTCGTGAGGGTTTAACCGTGAGTAATGAAAATATGACAACAAAAAACTTGTTATTTTATCCCTTGTTGTTTATTTTACAATAAAATAGTCATATTTAAGCTCAAATATGTGGATATTACGACATTAAACAGCTGGTTGCCTCAGGAGAAGAAAAATCTACTAAGCCGTCTTTTACTATCTTTGATTCTTAAATATCTTAAAAAGCACACATTGACAGATTTATTCACCTACCTTATTATCAGCATCCACGAAAACTTATTTATACGACATTGGGAAGAGTCAGTCGAAATCACGGCGTGTTGAGCAGCGTCATCTGGCGGTCGGAGAAAACGCAGCAGAGTCCATAAAACCATTACACATGACACGACGATTACTCCATTGCTGGACCACAATCATTAACTTTTAACCCATAAATGATATGGCACAAGGCACAATCAGTCAGATTCAAAGCGTGTTGATCAGCGCTCTCTGGCGGTCGGACATGACACGATTATTTCATAACTGGACCACAATAGTAACTTTAACGCCATAATGGTATAGCACAAATAGATTAAAAATATATTTAGAAAAGACACCTTCTTAACTAATGCAATGAAATTCCCAAAAGGTCTCCACGTGGAGCTGATCACGACAAACTCAAGGTGTTTATTGTTTTTAGAGTTAAATCTACCCATTAATCATCCGCACCCCCATTCTTTATTATTCTTCCACCCTCATCTGTGACACATTAGGTAAGATTAGAGGTGTTTGGACGATCAAACTCGCACAAAAACACGAGTGTGCAGTAGCTGATTCTTTTGTGATGCTAAAGCCCAAATGTGCCAATCCGATTTACATGTAGGAAAAGTGTGAGCTGTTACTGTACCTGCTTATTGTGTTGACTGATGGCCACTTCAAGTGATCTTCCTCAAGTGTTAAACCTAATGCATGCAGGTAAAGTGGAAAGCACTTGTCTGATCTGTGAACCGGGCATGCCTTCAAGGTTTATCGCCTTCTTGTCTTTAAGAAGCAGAACATAACAAATACTTCAATTGTCTGATCATGTGCAGGATAACAGCAATCTACAATTAATCTGCGGTTCATCTAAAGAATCAAGTGAACTAGATACATAAACTAATTCATATTCACATGTTTGTAGTAATTCACACTTATCAACATGTGTGAAAAACAAACCAAATCTCAAAGTAGGCCACACCAAAAATCTATTTCAAAAAGTTCATCTAAACCTTTCAGCATTAAAGAGAAAATACAGAGTCAATGTTATATTTATCTCATTTTATTTCTCTGTCGCTTTGGTGTTTTTATTTTTTGTTGATCCTTATTTTTTGGTTAATATTAATCAATACCATGAATTTTCGAATATGCACGTCTCAAATATATTTAAAAAGCTACCAATAATATCTAAAAAACAACGATTATTATTTTTTAAAGAAATATATAATGTGTACAATCAATGAAATAGTTAAACTGTATTTTCATAAAGCACTGGCCACAGAAACTATATGAGGATATATGCACATATATGAAACTTTTATGCAGTATATATGCACATATATGATAATATATATGCTGCATATATGCCACATATAGGCAGAATTGAGGTGCATATGTGCATATACAGGCCAAATAGGTCTCCTGTATTGCTTTTTCATATCCACATAGGTTCATACATGATATGTCTTCTATATTGCTCATATCTCACTTTGGCAATAGCCATACATGATGCCTTGCCTAGGTCATTTTTACTATCAAGGCAATAACTACCCAGACAGCAGAGTGGGATTAATTCACTGTTGATAGTCTATCAGAATCATTATTTTTGGTTGAGGTTTAATATTCAGCATTGAATTAAATTATGAATCCACATTATTAGTTCAATTAATTCCCATTGTTGCAAATACTTACATCGAACCGGTTGATAATGTACACATTTCTTAACACTGAAAATTTTACACTGAATTAATGTTAATATTTTGTTCATTTACTATTGTTAAAAATACTAACATTGAATATTTGTTGATAATTCAACTATTTTACAAGGTTTGAAAATACTTACATTAAATAAACACTGATAATTTCCCCATTTCCCAACACTGAAGATAATGCCATTTAATCAACATTGATAATTAAATCATTTTGCTATTGTTGAAAACACTGATATTAAAAAAATGTTGATAATTTACCCATTTCCCAACATTAAAAATACTAACAGTGAATCAATGCTGATAATTCAACAATTTGCCATTGTTGAAAATACTTACATTAAATAACTTGATAATTTATTCATTTCCCAGCATTGAAAATACTCGCATTGAATCAAAATTGATAATTTATTATTTTTTAAAATACTTCAAATACAATTGCTTTTACGTATACATGCATAATATTATTGTCAGAAAAATCTGAGCACAAATTAAGCTGTTATCTGGTAAAAGCCTATGCTAATACACAGCCCTAGTCAAGCCCTAGACAATCTGATTTCTTTTTTAGAAATAATATATTTTATTCTTACGTTTTTTTACAAGTTTATTAACTTTTCTACATTAAATATTATATTATTTTAGAATTTATTAATACACGTTTTAGAAAATATCCTGAATATCAGTGCAACAAAATACATACATTTCCAGATTTTAAAAAACTAAAAGTTATTTTGCTTTTGTTAACCGTCCCTGAAGCTGCAAATGCATAAATTGAACACACAGCCCGTAGCATGTGTAAAAAGAGACCTTGGGAATCTTTTCAACAACCTAACAGACTGATTTTTGATCTGATTATGTTATAATACACACGTTAGCAGCTCATTATTAATAACTACCTGAGCAAGAAAAAAACATTTAAATAGCATTTCTTAATTCCTAATGTTGCTATAGTTCTTGACTATGTCGCTTTTTTCCCAACACAACCCATAATTTCTAAAATATCAATCCAAATGGTCGATTTATAGTAAAAGTACTGGAATTACTATACAAAATCTGAAAATATGAAGTGTAAAACTTATTTATTTAAAAACATAAGCAAAATAAAACATTTTTGAATACAAAATCACCTTTATTTTTTCTGTCTAAATCAACCTTATGTTTTCCTGTTTGTTTGTTTTTACAAACAATAAGATAAAAATTAGGTGTAATAATGCAACAGTATTATGTTTGTTTGATTTCTTTATAAACCAACAATGCTTTGTGTGTTAATTATTACTTAAAACAGTCATTCTTAAAATTACTTTCATCATTTAAAACAGTCAAAATATGGTCAACCATTTGGTAGAGCAGGCAGTAAAAGGGTTTATGAGATAGTTTACCCCAAAATTTAAATCCCAGACCTTTATGGGTTTCTTTTTTTTTTTGTCTTCAAAACAAGATATTTTGGAAATACTGAAATCCATATAGCAAGGTGTGTGTATATATATATGGAAAATATTGGCTACCAGTTTTTAGCATTTTCTAAATATCTTTTGTTTTGAGCCGAAAAAGAAAGTCGAACTTTTTTAAACAATTTGAGGATTTTTGTTTTGTTGAGCGTGTACTGTATCTTTAAATATGCTATCAGAAATTCCGCAGTGCATTTCAATATAAGCAATTGTTGAGGTATTTGGCAAGATGCAGATTTACACTGATGAATGACTTTCTATTAGAACTAATTGATTATTATGAAACGCATGTTGAAATAACGAACAAAAGTGAAAATCGTGCTGTGCTGATGATCTTGAAACACCTCAGAGGATCTGTCTCCATCTAGTGACTGAAAAGTAAGAGGATGCTGTCATCAGAACAGGCTATCTGCGGTTACACAAAATAACTCGAGTGAAGTTTTACACAACCCCGAACTCGAAATTATGCATTTCCTAATTATGCACAACAAAATGGCGAGTCAGAAAAACATCTGTGGCGGTCATGTGGTAACAGGTACAAGTAGCTACAAATGGTGTGACTGTGTGAATAAGCAGGTAGACCTACTAGGAAAAAAAGCTAGATGTTTATATTCAATGATTAACAACAAACATATATAAAAAAGTATAATAACAAAACTATATATAAAAAAAAAAGCTATTACCAACCTATAGGCTTAGAATATATATATCAACAAAATCATAACAAAGTGAATTCGCTATAAACCATAAAAAAAATCTTTATCCATATATTATTGATGAAAGAAATTGCACACCTTAAGCTCTAGGATCAAATCCTCACATAAAGAATAAATGGTTACTAGGGCCATAGTCATTTATAAAACGCAAGTGTTCTTGAACCTTAAGTTTATCATACGAGTATATGGAGGTCGGAGGACTGCATCCAAAGTCATCTGGAATGGCAAACAAAGTTCTTGCAGGACTCCCAGAGTTCATCAAGATTCTTTGGATTCATCTTTAATGCCTCCTCCTTTATCTTATCCCAGACATGCTCAATAATGTTCATGTCTGGTGACTGAGCTGACCAATCCTGGAGCACCTTGACCTTCTTTGCTTTCAGGAACTTTGATGTGGAGGCTGAAGTATGAGAAGGAGCGCTATCCTGCTGAAGAATTTGCCCTCTCCTGTGGATGGTAATGTAATGGCAGCACAAACATCTTAATACCTCAGTGATGTTGCCATCCACTCTTCAGATCTCTCGCACACCCCCAAACTGAATGTAACCCCAAACTATGATTTTTCCTTCACCAAACTTGACAGATTTCTGTGAGAGTCTTGGGTCCATGTGTGTTCCAGTAGGTCTTCTGCAGTATTTGTGATGACTGGGATGCAGTTCAACAGATGATTCATCAGGAAAATCGACCATCTGCCACTTTTCCAAATGATCAACTAGAAGTCAAGTTATTTGTTGCTCTTAGAACTGGGATCCACAACAAGACTTGTGTCAGGTAGTGTGGTTTCAAAAAAAAAAAAAAGTATAAGTAGAGAACATTAAAAACGTAATACATTTGTTCATCTCTCAAATTCAGACTTATGAGTCGCAAATGATACCATATTGATCAATAAAAACTGAAAATTTGATGGAAAAATTACACTACCAAGGGAGCTCTAAGAGGCAGTGGTCAAAGTTTTAGAACTTGCTTTTGGGACATGGGATGTCACCTGACAGATCTTATTTTATAGAAAGCTGAAAACCAGTAACCATTGACTTCCATAGTTGGTAAAACAAACACCGTGGAAGTCAATGGTTACTGATTTTCAGCTTTCTACAATATATACAGAGCATTTAACAGAATAAAAAACAGGTAATTGAATGGTAAATGATAGTTTTGGGGGTGATGCAGTGGTGCAGTAGGTAGTGCTGTCGCCTCACAACAAGAAGTTCGCTGGTTCGAGCCTCGGCTGGGTCAGTTGGCGTTTCTATGTGGAGTTTGCATGCTCTCCCTGCGTTCACATGTTTTTTTCTGAGTGCTCCGGTTTACCCCACAGTCCAAAGACATGCAGTACAGGTGAATTGGGTAGGCTAAATTGTCCGTAGTGTATGAGTGTGTGTGTGTGGATGTTTCCCGGGGATGGGTTGCGGCTAGAAGGGCATCCGCTCCATAAAAAAAAAACGTGCTGGATAAGTTGGCGGTTCATTCCACTGTGGCAACCCCGGATTAATAAAGGGACTAAGCCGACAAGAAAATGAATAAATAATAGTTTTGGGTACACCACTAGGTTAATGTAGTGAATGGAGTAATTTCTCAAAGCAGCCACTAGATGTCAGCCTGACCAAAGCCAACAATTAAAAAGAGTTAATGGCGAGACTCTCAAAACACTTATTTAGCTAAGCTACTACAGTAAATCATGTTTTCTTCATCGTTCAGATGTTTTGAAGCTCAGAACTCAGGTCAAATCACAGTATGTGCGAGAGAGACAATTTCAAAAAGAAATCACTTATCATTTTGAGAAGCATATGTTCTGAACATGCTGTTTAATTAACCTGAGCTGATTTTCTGATGTCTTTCCACTCTAACAGGATGAAGTTACTCATTTCATTCTACCTCATCATCCTGCAATCTGATCTCAGAAAAGAGATGAATCTTAATGATCTTTAATAATTAAGTACGTTAATGTTCTTACAGATGTCTCCCGGTAATGGATGGGCAAAATCAGCTACAGCACATTATTCTAAAATTAGAAAAATATTCCAGTGGATGCCCTACAGCAGGTCTGTAAATGTGTGTTTAATTTCTGCAGATTGGATTTTAAATTAATTATTCAGCCAACGATGTGAACTTGATAACCTTTAAAATGTAGATATTCATTTTCCTTCAGCCTACTCCCTTTATTTATCAGGGGTCACCACAGCAGAATGAACCGCCAACTTAGCCAGCATATGTTTTATGCAGCAGATGCCCATCAGGATGCAACCCAGTACTGGAAAACACCCATACATTCACATTCACACTCATACACTACGGCTAATTTAGCTTATTCAATTAATCTATAGCACATGTCTTTGGACTGTGGGGGAAAGCGGAGCACCCAGGAAACCCACGCGCAAACAAGGAGAATCTGCAAACTCCACACAGAAATGCCAATTGATCCAGCCAGCGCTCGAACCAGCAACCTTTTTGCTGTGGGGGTGACAGTGCTAAACACTGAGCCACTGCGCCGCCTAAAATTCATTCATTTTCATCTGCTTTTCCTGGGCAGGGTCGCGGGGACAGCAGTCTTACAAGAGAACCCAAAACGTCCCTTTCCCCAGACAATTCCTCCAGCTCCTCTGGGGGGGATCCCAAGGCGTTCCTATGCCAGCAAGAGACATAGTCCCTCCAGCATGTCCTAGGTCTTCCCTGATGCCTCATACTGGTGGGACATGCCTAGAACACCTCCCTAGCTACACATCCAGGAGGCAACCAGAAACAGATGCCCGAGCCATCTCAGCTGACTTCTCTCGATGTGGAGGAGTAGCGACTCTACTCCGAGCTCCTCCCGGGTGACAGAGCTCCTCCTCACTCCTTGACATGGGGCGTCAACGCTTTCCATTCATTCGAAGGGGTGACGTCAGGCATTGCTGAACAGCATTGTGGATCCCGCTTCAGTGGCAATGCTCACTGCAGAAGTTGGGAGTTTCTCAACTTTTTAAGTGCCAATGGAAGCGTCAGCCAATCAGACAGCTCAGACAGTAGCCCTCAGTCAAGCATTGACGCTGAAGACCTGTGTGAATGCAGGGTAAGGGTGCGTCCCGCCACCCTGCGACGAAAACTGATTTTGGCCACTATCCGAGATCTTGTCCTTTCAGTCATGACCCAAAGCTCATGACCATAGGTGAGAGTAGGAATGTAGATTGAAGGGTATATCGAAAACTTCATCTTTCAGCTCAGCTCCTTCTTTACCACAACTGACCAATACATTGACCGCTGCACCAATCCGCCTGTCAATCTCATGTTCCATCCTTCTCTCACTCATGAACAAAACCCCAAGATACTTGAATTCCTCCACCAGTGGTAAGGACTTTGTAGACATGAAAAATAAAATAAAATAAAACACAAGTGGCACGGTTTCATCTAGTGAATGAACTTTTATTTAAATTAAATCATTATATAGGACTTTTAAAAGAATTTTTGAAGAATCTTTACCAAAAACAGAAAGAAAACAAACGAACAAACAAACAAAAAAAAAAAAAACTACCCTTTTTCTCAATTAGATTTCCATTATTAATCACTATTTATTTCTTACATGGTGTGAAAATTCTGGAGGAGAAACGTTTACGTACAGTAGGACAACTCGGGGAGAAAGCAAAGTCCATTGTAAACGGAAGTCAAGGCACAAACAGAATGCTAGAAAGAGGAATCGGGAAGATAGAAGAGAAGAAAATAAAAAGATTGTTAGATACTGTTACGTACATACTTTAAATATCAGTTACGTTTTAGCAGTTTATTCCCCATTTGTGAAGCTTTTTTTGTGCTTTTTCATATTTTTTTTGTTCTTTTTGTATTTTTTTGTATTTAATTTTAAAAGGAATGTTATGCTGATGTGAACTGATTACTTGTATTGATATATTTGCTATCTTATCATGCAGGACGGCTTTCCGTTTTGCTATCAACGAGGACGTCATGTAAACATCATAAAAAAGCATGTTCCTTTTTTCCGATCATACTCTATATCCAATGCCTGCAGCTTCTTTAAAAAAATAAGCATTACGCAATTAAAACTTGAATAAAATTTGCACATCAGATTCCCTAGAGTAAAATGAAGCATCGTATAAAAAAAACAAACATTTTTTTCGCCTCTGATATTACTCGAACAAAAAAAGGAGAGGAGAAAACGTGGAGAATGGACACAGTTGGTGATTTGTGGTCATTACCCAAGGAATTAATAATACAGGTATTAAATGTGGAACTCAATGGAGGAACGGTGTCTGGACAGAGGCTGAAATAGCTGAAATTGTGTTGTGCTCCTCGGAGCTCTCAGTTGTCGTGTGGAAGCAGGAGTCTCTACTTCCTCTGCTCATCAAAACTGTTCAAGTAATCTGAAAGAGGAAGACAAATACAGTATAAAAGGCTTAGCAAGCAAAGACGCTGTGGTTGTTGTGTATCATACTTTATGAATGTATTTTTATTGTATTCCAAAGCAACTATTGAAATGCAATAAACATCAGACATGCACAACACACTTAGTCTGGTGTAAATACGTGCAGTGCATTTTACTCTCAGTAACAAAATAAACATACAATTAAAATATTTGCACAATCTCTGCAATTCATCACTTCAGTCATGCCATGTTTATGTGTTCTGTGCTTGGTAAGCCTATTTAATCATTCATGAATGGAATTATTACAGGGTATATACAGGAATCCTAAAGATAATTTCAATAACTTTAAGACTTTTTAAAGACTTTCTTAGACTATTTTAAGAGCTTATCGCCTCCTTCTAACCTCGTTGTTGAGTAACAGTTGTAGTTAAATAAATCAATGGAGCAAAACCATGCAACAGAACTCAGATAAGCTCCGAAGAAACAAATCTTGAAAGAATAAATTACATGGTTGTTTTCAGCAACAGGTTTCAGCCACTGTTTAAACTTGTCTTTCTCCAACCAAGAGTACGGAAACTCACATTTTCCCATTTTGCCGTCTGTTTTGTTACATGTGGAGAGCATCACATCGCCTTCCTGCGTTTGTCGCAAATTACATGACATCACCCGGATAAAGGAGTTTGGCCGGAAGCTCCCCGGTCCAAACCAGTCATATGGATGGAGCATACCGTTATTAATATTAGGAGGAAAATAAATACATTTATGCTTTTTTGGAGTCAAACACTTTGGAAAACGCTTGAACAAAATTTTAGACCTCGTAAAAATGCAATTAAGACTTTTTAATACCCTTTAAGGGCATTCATTTTCTCATAATTGATTGATCAACTTTTAATACTTTTTAAGACCCTGCGGACCCTGTATAAGCGCACTCAATAAAAAAAAAAGCAATTTTATTCTGCAATTAATTATGTTAAAAAACACATTTTGTATTGGGGATGATATTAGTAATTACAACCATTTACTTTCATAGTTTTATTAAAAAGCTATAATTTAATAGGCTTCAAAAGTGATTTACTTTTATATGAACCCATTATAAAATGTTCCATTTTATTAGATTTTGTTGTTTATGACTGAAGACAAGAAAGGCTTTTTAAAAAAAATAATAATAACAATAATCATAATAATAAAATAGAATATTTAAACCATCACAAAAACAAAGTTAATGTATTTTTAAAGGAAAATTATTTCAAAATCAAAATCAAAGGAAGGTCATTAATAAAATGGAGTTGTTGTATGGCATTTAAAAGTTGTAAAAGCAATTAAAAATATATTAATGAATGAATGAATGATTGATTGAAATGTTTCTATTGCTTTGTGGAGCTGGCGATGACGAATGTATGACCACATGCCAAAGTAGTCCAGGAAAGGATCTAATAATTGCATGTAACATAAATAGTGAAATTAAACATTTTGCATACATTAAACAGGAAAAAAAGTAAGAAATAATTGCATTATTTTTAAAGCTTCAGATATGACAATTTAACTTAGGGGCTGATCACACCGAATGCTTTTTGCATTGAGAGGCGCTCTTTTTAAATGATTTACTAATGGCCACAAGCGTTTTGCGCGCTGCATATGCCAAGTTCAGACTGCATGATTTTCAAAGTAGTCATGTCATGGATGTTTTTACACTTGCATGACTATCTTAGCGGTCTGTCAGTGCTGTGTTTACACTGTAGGATGGATCAGCGACAGGAGAGTTCACACTGCATGACTTTAAAATAGGAAGAATCACAGACTACTTTGTCCAAACTACATCTCACAACCAAACAAACGTGACATGGAAACAACACGAGGTCATGTGATATATCTTTCGTTATTAACTACATAATGGAAAAAGGCTTTAGCTTTAGAAACTTGTGTTGCTCACCTAGCTTTTGAAAAGAATCAGCAATCTCTCAACTTTTTTTTAACTTTTTCAACTGATAATGATATTATTCAGATGACACGTCTAACAGACACAGTGCTCCTGTCAAATGTCCACTAGTATTCCCTCAATTTCTTGGTTCAAATAAACTGAAAATGAGCGCTTATAACTACTCCCCCAGCCTCCCACTGGCCTGAAGGTACCTATGCTAATGAATGCTGCTCTCTCATTGGCTGTAGATGATCGCCGATGTTATTTTAAATCAGAACACATTTCACACAGCATGAATTGAATCGCAGACAGCTCTAGATATTTAGCATGCCAAATGTCTCACAGGCGTCTGCGATAAATCGGCGATCCTCTCATATCGCGTCCTTGATAGTTCATACCATGTGATTGTCACTAACTTGAACGAGCACCAATTTGCCTGTGATTTCAGGCATTTGTCTGCCATTTCTCAAAACCTGTCTTAGAGTCAAAATCAGGGCTAAAATCCAGCAATCTGACTCGCGTTTTCGCCGCCTGCAAGCCGTGGCGTGCTTGCAGATGAAAAACAGTCAATACTGAGCTGAAAAAACACATCGTGTCAGTTGAGTCTTTTTCATTCTCCAATCAAATGAAAGCAGAGGCGGGGTTTCCATAGAGGTGACAGCAGTGTTTGTGTTATCAAGACGACTACAGAGACTTTTGATGATAAAGTAGAGACTAGTGTTAACTGTTTTGAGTTATTCGGGGCTGTTTGCAAATCTTGAATATCACAATAATATTAAATAATAAAATTATACCAATATCATTAGCAACACTCGTGCGTAATACACAGCTGATTCAGTCATTGGCTGGCAACATAAAAAGTGCAAACAAAAAGGTATTGTCAACAAAAAGGCATTGCGGTGCACCTTGCATTTTTAGAAACGTAAAAGCACGTTCGATGTGATCCGATACTTAAACGGCAACAAACTTATACACTATAATGTGACTCATCCATGCTTATTTATTTCTCTCTTCCAACACTGAAATTGGTCAATTCGTGCATCATATTTCAGCATCACTAGTTACCTCATCTCATCCTTTCGCTCGTGTGGTCTAGAAGAGCCCACAGTCCTTCAGGTTGTTTTTGATGATGACGTCGGTCACGGCGTCGAACACAAACTGCACGTTCTTGGTGTCCGTCGCACAGGTGAAGTGAGGGTAAATCTCCTTGGTTTCTTTCTTCTTGTTCAGGTCTTCAAACTTGGTGCGGATGTACTCGGAGGCCTCTTCGTAGTTGTCTTCGCCTTGTTGAGAAAAGGAAACACAAAGCACAATGAGAAAACTGTAGAGCAGAATCAAAAAAGAAAATAAGTGACAGGGAGCTGCAACCCTTTAACTTCCACTCATTTTTGATTTGGATAAAGGCACAGTATGTGATTTTCACCACTAGAGGGCATGTGTTCACAACAAACAAAGGCATGTTTGAGTGCTTTTGGTGTTTCCCTGTTTTCTGTACAACGAAACTAAAATTCGAGGGTGTGTGACATCGTTAGCAAGGTGAAACAGCACATGCTCCGTCTCACTCACTCTCTGGATTTCAAACATTCTTCAAAATATTTGAGATGATGTAAATACATTGAGTATAAAACACTGTTCTAGCAGTTTTTGGAAATTTTTATAACAAAATCTTTCATTTTGTCCTGTTAAATTCTGTTCAATTTAAGGCTGCACGATATTGGTCAAAAACTGACATTGCGATATTTAGTTTGTGGAATATATATATATATATATATATATATATATATATATATATATTAGTGTTGTCAAACTTAACACGTTAACGTATGCGATTAATTTGAAATAATTAAAGCGTAAAAAAAATGAACGCAATTAACGCAGTTTTTTTTTTTTCTGTTGTGGCCAGGGGCAGACCGGGCAGTTTCCTGCTGGGCCAACGTACTTTTTGGGCCGGGCTGATCATCTTCTTATGATCTGATCAGCCCATAAAACACTTAGCAGACTGTCATGTTTTTCTGCCTAAGTGATTGACGCTCTGAAAGTAAGATGTTTCTTTTCCGGACAGAGTGGCGCATGTGACATAATCTGCAGCCCATTGGTTCTTTTCTTTATTGACATTGGGCTGACCCAATCACAAACTTCCATGTTGGGCTCTGTGTGTAACGTAGGTGTGTATTTGTCAAAATATCGAGAGTCACACCTGTTTCTTACGCGGGGGTCTGCGATATTAATATATAATTTCACAAGATGACTTATAACTATTTGGAATAAATTCCTGATTTTATATAGATTAGGCTTACTTGATAGAGTAGTATCTGCATAAAATGCAATCCAATTCAATAGATACAAAATTATTTCATGGTTTTCTGTGGAATCTAACAGTATCAAGGTACAGAAAGTCAATAATAATAATAATAATAATAATATTAATATTAATAATAATAGGCGAAGCAGTGGCGCTGTGTGGAGTTTGCATGTTCTCCCTGCGTTCGCGTGGGTTTCCTCCTGGTGCTCCGGTTTCCCCCACAGTCCAAGGACATGTGGTACAGGTGAATAAGGTAAGCTAAATTGTCCGTAGTGTATGAGTGCGTGTGAATGAGTGTTTGCGGATGTTTCCCAGTGATGGTTTGGGGCTGGAAGGGCATCCGCTGCGTAAAAATGTGCTGGATAAGTTGGCGGTTCATTCCGCTGTGGCGACCCCAGATTAATGAAGGGACTAAACAGACAAGAAAATGAATGAATGAATGAATAATAACAATAATAATTAAAATAACACTGCATTATTGGAGACTCTTCACTGTATAAATAATTAAATACAATTATTTAGGTTGATATACTTTTATAACCGCTTGGATTAAGTTTTCTTAAATCTTACACAGTCATAGGACATAAAAACACACACAAACGAAACATTTTCAATATATTTTAGGGTTAAACTTTGCAATGACCCCAAAAATCACAGGTTCTGAACTGTGGTGCTCATCAACTATAATCCCAACTTGACACTGCTGATCCTGATGTGACTACTGCAGAATCACACATTGCGATATCGATGCTGAAATGATATATTGTGCAGCCTTACACTAATCTAAGTAAATTTAGTGTTTTTTTTTTTTTTTTTAATTAATGGACAAAGAGACAACCAAGCAGTTACATTGAGTGTTAAAAGTTTAAAAATGGAAAAACTAAATCGAAAAACAGCATTTTAAAACTGATCTTCACTTGGCTGTTAAAATGACATTGATTGATATCAGGGAAGATGTTGTTCTGTGTTAGATGTCATAAAATCAACCCTTGAAACTAGTTGGAAAAACTTGTTGGGTCTAGTCTGTTTATCGCATCTAAGATATGCACACATCAAAGACAGCTTTCATCACTCATCAGCACTGGAATGGATTATGAAAAGTAGGCAATGTAATTAATATTATATTAAGCAGGGCTGCATGATATTGGAAAAATCTAACACTGCGATATATTCTATTCTGCAATTTATATTGCAATATGAATACAATTGCACTTGATGTGTTACACCATTTAGAAAGAATTTACCACTTTAGATTGATTGGGATGGTTCTGTAGAGGAGTGCAAATAAATAAAACATTAAAAAACAAGCAACTAAGGCCTATATGATTTTAAAACCCTCAAACAGTCACAGGCTTAAAAAAACACTAGCAAAACGATCAATTACAATCCACACTCAACATTGCAAATATTTACGATGTGACTATTGCCAATGTTCACATTGCGATATCAATGCGGAAGTGATATATTGTTCAGCCCTTTTTAGTGTTGTTTTACTGTAACCCCTATGATGGATATATCTCAGAAAGCAGATTTCAGGGTCTCATTTCAACTGTTTCACTTCTTTATACTTTTTTTTTTTTTAGAATTATTATATACCATATGTTTAATGTTATTTATTATTTAATGCACTAAAAAAATCATGTTCACCATCTTGGATGGCCTAGGTTTATGAACTACATTAATTAGCATTTTTTAAAATCCAACTTATTCATTCATTCTCTTTCGACTTAGTCCCTTTATTAATCAGGGGTTGCCACAGCAGAATGAACCGCCAACTTAACCACCAACTTATCCAGCATATGTTTTACACAGTGGATGCCCTTCCAGCTGCAACCCATTCATACACACACATACACTACGATCAATTCGCGTATATCGCATGTCTTCGGACTGTGGGGGAAACCGGAGCACCCAGAGGAAAGGAAACCCACGCGAACACGGGGACAACATGCAAACTCCACACAGAAATGTCAACTGACCCAGCCGGGATTCAAACCAGCGACCTTCTTGCTGTGAGGCGACAGTGCTAACCACTGAGCCACTGTGTTGGCCCGAAATCCAACTCATAATCCTAATACTATAATATACGCAATACTATCCATAATGGATTTAACTACACAAAACCCCAGGTACAATTATTTAGACACTAAAAAGGACAACATTGATTTATTTTTGTCTTTAATGCACAGGTAAAGATTTATTGAGCTGGAGCACTTCAAAGCACTCTTGAAGCATTTGCGCACTTGAATTAGCTGGTTTATTGGGTAGCTGGCTGTTTTATAGTACCTGGATACTCGGGAAAGCAGATGATCAAGGAGCTGCGTGTGATTTTCTGCTCAAACAGATCCTTCTTGTTGAGGAAGAGGATGATGGAGGTCTCTGTGAACCACTTGTTGTTGCAGATGCTGTCGAAGAGCTTCATGCTCTCGTGCATTCGATTCTGTAATGAAATGAAGAGATGTTAGAATAATTTCTGAAGGATTATGTGACACTGAAGACCGGAGTAATGATGTCAAAAAATCAGCTTTATAAAATATATTTAAACAGAATTATGAGCTAAACTGAGTGGTACACATAAGGTGTGGTATGGTGCGGTTTGGTAAGAGTCACTTTTACCAGACGTGTGTCTCCACTGCCAATTGGTATTAATGGTACAGTTTTGGTAGGCGTGAAGTACAACAAAAAGTTGCAGAGGACGTCATTCTCTCTTGAAGTTCACATATCTTATGAGAAGCACTTCTTAAAAGTGAAATCTCTTGCACTTCAGATGGCCTCATAAACATAACAGGACACACAGCAGATTCTGTTCATCTACTCAGCTTTGTGGCTGCTTATCAAGATGACAACAAGGTTTGTTTGAGCTGGTTGGGATACAGTACAATTCACTTTTTGGTACCTTTTGACAGTGGAAATGGTCATAAAAGCGCACCAAACCATACCGTACCACTCAGTAGAGACGGGCTATAAGAGTCTCTCACCATTTCCTCATCCTCAGCCAGTACCAAGTCATATGCACTCATGGCCACACAGAAGATAATGGCCGTCACTCCTTCAAAACAGTGGATCCACTTCTTTCTCTCTGAACGCTGACCGCCGACATCAAACATCCTATAGAAAGACAGTAAACGTGTAAATGTTCAGCATTATAACGGACACACCTATAGGTGTATCAAGTACAACTGAAAATATTAATTACACCTTGAAATACCCCAAATAAGAGAACATTTTATTTCTTTAATTTGATATAATAGGAAAAATAATTCAACCTGGTCACACTTTATATTAAGTGTCCTTAATTAATATGTACTTACACAGGAACTAATAGTTTGTTACAATGTACTTATTGTGTAAATACATGTATTTATTGTGTACTTATGCTTGATTTAATACCTGTATGTAATTACATTGGTAACTAACGTCTGTAACTACATTTGTAAATACACTGCTGACCATTCCCTACACCTTAACCCCCCCTTAAACCTACCCATACCACCAAACCTGTGCATAACCCAACCCCTATCCCAACTCAAGACCACCAAGTGTTCTCAAATACATTATGAACACAGTAAGTACATTGTATTTATTTTTTTGATGCAACTACATAGTAGTTAAGGACACTTAATATAAAGTGGGACCTTCAACCTAATATAAAATACCATCTTAGGGAATGTTTAGACAACTAAGCTACAATCTGGTTAGTTAGCAACAAATAACAATGGCATTAAAATGTGCATGTTTTGGAAAACTGTTAGTGTTTTTTCTGTGTAAAACCTTATAACCATAATCAAACAAAGCTGATCCAACAAATCAAGACTACTAGAGACTATTAAACTGGTGTGAGTTGGAGCTAAACTGTGCAGAGCTGTGGCCCTCCAGAAATCGAGTTTTAAACCATTGATCTATAGGCATGTGCAAGTATTTGACAATTAAAACAACAATGGCTGACTACTACTAAAGCGACTACTGGCCTGACATGCAGAACAAAGGATTGTTAATAGAGACACACTGAATATTTGGCAGAAAATGCCATTTTAGGTTTTCAGCCATTAGAGAAAAACAGCCTAAAATATAAGATGAAAAATAAAGGTTATGTTGCGTCGCCATGAACAGCAGTGTTCAGCACGCTGGTTTCACTCTCCCTCCAGTTATAGGCCTCCAGAGCAGGGGTGCGAACTTTAATATAGCCCAATATTCTGCTCGATGAACGTCATTCATCTACGCGTAAACTTATCTATTAGGGGTGTCAAAATGTATTGTTTCTTCTGTGCACCGTGATGCAGACAATTCGGTATGGGTTCAGTTATAGATCATAACCGGTTATTATGTACTGACTTCACTTATCTCACAGGGCTCGAAATTGCATCCATTTTAATTCGCATATGGGCCAGAAATTAAATTTATGTGACCTCATAATATATTTTGGGAGCATTTATGCGACTGCATGTAATGGTTGTAGTGCAACCGGTTATAATTTTTTCTAAAAATAAATAAATAAATAGGTGTTCAACGCCACTATTTTGGGTTGTATTAGCTGTCAATCCCTCAAGTCTTTGAGCTGTAAGATGACAGGGAGCTTTTGTGACCACGGGAAATGCAAACGGCTGAAGTTTGTGGAAGACGCAATGAAAAGTTCACAGGTTTGCAAACCCACCTAAAGTTACAAATTATGGTGCCGATGAAAGAGATCATGTGACGAATGTTGACCCACCAGTCGAGATCCAGTGTTTTCGGATAGAGTGCTGAAGGACTCGGAGTGGATCAGCTCTATAATAGCCTGAATCTCCATGCGTTGCATTCAATGCGTGTTCAGCGCAAATGGCCGATAAATGTAAAATCTAACACTGTATACGTTATCAGTAAAGAAGCTCGCCTTTACTAAGTTTAAACTGAAACTGTGGTGGTCACTGCGAGCATCTTGCTCCGCCCTGCTTGGGCAGGCTTTTACCCACCTGCTTTTTTCACAAACACAGAAAAATGTAAATCGGCACAAACTAAAACCAAAACATTCAAAGAGTGGTAGAAGTGAGATTTTTCATTCCTTTATTTATTCGTTCCTTCTTGAGATGCATATAATTTTTCTATCTACTTACTGATGACTGCTTTGCAGCTTTCAGCGTTGAATCGAATGATTTATTTTAATCTTTTGTTTATGTTTTGTAGCTAAAATAGAATGTTGTAATGTAATGTTTAAATTGAAATGCATATATTTTACAGCAGATAACTTACATTCAAGCACATTTAAGGCAGCAGGATAATAAGAAATGTAATTCATTGTTATTATTGTCATCATCATAATCCTTTATATTTGAATTAAATATAATTTTTTTTTAATAAGTAGACATTAATTTAGGAATTATTGCGCAAACATCAGTAAGTCATCTCAGGATTAGTTAGTTAGTCATTTTTGGTTTTTGCTAGTCCTGATTCATTTTGTTTTTAAATACTAATAATCCGTTAATATACACTTAGCAGTGGTCCGCATTCATTTTTGGGGGGTAATCCTAAATTTTTTTCTGGTGCTTCTAAATTTTTGAAGTTGGGAGCACCAGTGCTACCAAGAAAAAAGTTTATTTTGAGGCCTGTCTCACATGCACTATATTGCGGTAGCTTACTATGGTGAGGGAGGTGAGCCCGAGTAATTAAAACACTTACAGCAGAAGCCCTGTTTCACTGTTATAGAAAAATCATTTACTGTGGCCCTTTCACCTGCTGGTGGGACGTTTCCTCTCTTCTTGGCTGTTACAGCGATACTTAAAGTCAGACATGACCATGTAAGCAGAGTAGGATTTCTCCACTGCGTCCATCATGGTCAGCTCTGATTGCCGCTGCCATTTATCAGTGTCACTCATCGGTAAACGGGCCAGTGCATGAGAGTCAATCGCAGCCCTTTCTGTTGAGCACGTGACCAATCATAAGGGTGTAAGAACTCCCTCGACAAGGCTCAGAAAGTGAGCGGGATATTTACATTTGTTTATTTGCTATAAATGCTCATATTGTTCTGTGCATGTCCTTGAGTTTTTAAAAGGTACATTTCATATATCTGACTGTATTACAGGACAAAATTGTATTACAAATAATATAGAAATGTAAATATATTTATAAATGTTAATACAAGAATTGTGGTGCTGTGAAGTAAACTATCAAACTGTGTATGGAAAGCATCGTCAATGCACCGTGATGCACTGAGATATCAAACTGAACCAAATCAATGGCATGATAATTATAACCGAACTTAACTGTGAGACCAGTGTAGGTTTACAGCTCTATTATCTATGCATGTATTACAAAAGCTCAACAGAAAAGCTAAGTCTGCTCAAATAATGTCCAACAGGCCATTTCTATGTGGTATACTTGTTTCTTCTGTTTTCAATAGCACTATTTTTCTGAAACAATATAACTTAAATAATAAGTTTAATTTAAAAAGTAATTTTGACTTTGGTTTTCAGGCAAATATAAATAAATGAAAGCATAAACATAAATAAACAAAAACAGAACAAATGTAAATAAAATAAAAACAGAACAAATATAAATAATAAATAAAAACAGAATGAATATAAAATAAATAAATAAATGAAAACAAATAAAAACAGAACAAATATAAATAAAATAAAAACAGAATGAATAAATTTAATTTAATTTAATTTGAGCAAGTGCATACATTTTTTTTTTCTTTTGTTTTGGCATAATATTTTAACTTCAGTGCATCCCTAATTATTAGCCATTATCACTGGAAAAAAATAACCACCAAAGTAGACTTAGATCTCTAAAGGGTAAGCTTTCTAAGGATATTATCATTTAAAATAAAATGAATAATTTAAGAAATACATGAAGCTAATAACATATATTGGAAACCGAAACAAACAAACAAATAAATAAATAAATAAATACATATTTTCTGTTTTTTATATGTTTTACTCTGTTTTTGTAAATCCATCCTGCTTCAGCAATCCCCATCACTTAAAGTGGCGAATGACAAATCTGCAGTGCACACTTTACATCATTTACATAATGCACACACTGCAATAATAAAACAGTTTTTGTACATTGGTGTGGATGCTAATATAGTTACCTCTATAGTTCTCATTCTTGCTGTGAATGAGCCTTAAGAAAGGAAAAAGTCAAACTAATTAGAAATAACCTAAGAGCAAGTAAACAATGATTTCAGGTCACATCTAGCTTTCCACAAACCATATTTTTCCAGCGTTTCCAGGTTGGAAATTTATGGGGAAAACTGCATTTGCAGAGTCAGCGTTCTTAGCGAAACACCCCTTTCTCTTCTTTAGGTGTGGACATTCATGTGTGTCACTGGCATTTGTTGACATTTGAGTCTGCGCTTTGTTTCTATGGTAATGGAGGGCTTGAAAGCAGGATGGATGAGATGGGGAGGGAGGATGGAGGAGATGAAACTTCCTGTCTATGGCAGGAGTCATTCATTTCTGCCTGTCAAACACTATAACAGCACAGACCTGGAAAAGACGTCACTGGCATTTCTAGGAATTTCTGCAATCATGTTCCTCTTATGTGGCATTTCCCTTTCTACACACACGGTACATGATATGATTTACGAGACATTAAATAAAGTAATAGAGCTTATTGGACAGCTGGCTCATGTTTGATCTTTCGAAAGGTTGGCCTGACATTTCTTCTGTAGATTAAAGCAGACACATTCAAAGAGAATCATTCCAGGCTTGACGCATCCCATAAACTGAGCAAACAGAAACACAGGTTTGAGATAAATTACTCCCAAAACCTAAAGCCAGAAACATGTGGATGGCATGGAATTAATTCATTCATTCCACTGAGAGTTAACGAGGGTGTTGGTGGAAAATGGCTGTTAGATTGGGCAGATGAGATGTTTGAAGTGTGAATGTGTGTGAACATGCATGTTAAAAACAGCTACTAGAGGGTGCAAATAATAAAATCTCAGTTCAAATCAGTGAAATAAGGACAGGGGCTTTCTCACTTGAAGTGCAGATCTTTGAAGGTGAAATGTGTCTCTACGATGCCAGTGGTTTTCACTCTGGTCCTCAGGACATCCTGCTGGGTTGGGATGTAATCGGCTTTGGCTATCCTCTCCATGTCATTCAGATAGCTGCAAAACACAAAGAGGATGGTACAAAACATTAGCTTTAAAAATGACTGTTTGGGATCTGTTATAACCACTGTGCTTAATATAATTATTTTATTTATTATATTTTTATAATTAATATAAATAACTATGCACACACACGTTCAGTATGTTTATTATTAAATTGAAACGTCAAAATCCAAAATGTCTTTAATATATAAAAGGACAAAAGATAATGCTTGAAACCAAAATTAATAAATCTAAATAAAATAAAAACAGAACAAATAAATAAAAAAGAACAAATATAAATAAATTAAATAAATAAAAACAAAATGATTATAAACAAAAACAGAATGAATATAAATACAATAAAAACTAAACAAATATATAAACAAAAACAGAACAAAAATAAATATAATGAAAACAGAACAAATATAAATAATAAAAACAGAACAAATATAAATAATAAAAACAGAACAAATATAAATAAAATAAAAACAGAACAAATATAAATAAATAAAACAGAACAAATGTAAATAAAATAAAACCAGAACAAACATAAATAAAATTAAAAAAGAACAAATATAAATGAAATAAAAACAGAACAAATATAAATGAAATAAGAACAGAACAAACATAAATAAAATAAAAACAGAACAAATAAAATTAAATAAAAACAGAACGAATATAAATAAAATAAATAAATAAAAACAACAAATCTAAAATAATTGATAAAAATCGAAAATATATGAATAATAAAAAAGAACAAATATAAATAAAATAAAAACAGAACAAGTATAAATAAATAAATAACTACATAAATAAAAACAAATATAAATAAATAAAAGATATAAATAAAATAAAAACAGAACAAATATAAATAAATAAATAAACAAATAAAAACAAATATAAATAAATAAAAACAGAACAAATATAAATAAATAAATACATATAAACAAATATAAATAAATAAATACAGAACAAACATAAACAAAATAAAAAAATTTAACGAACTTAAATGTTGCTTTCTACTCATGATAGAAAAGGTGTTTATTTAAACTTTTAAAATAAACTTCCTTCTTATTATTTAGAAATAAATATTATTTAATATTTGAACTCAGACACATATTTTGAAATATATAAGCATAATTTACATTAACAAAATTTTCCTTTTAAAATTTCAGCACGCCCAAAAAAATAAGTCCTGACCCTCACTATATTGAACATTCAATTACAAGATGTAAACAAAATTATGGCACAAGCAACAATTTAGACAAATACTGTACGATCCAAAGTACAGTACACTTCTGTGACTCAACTGTGTCGGCAGTGTTGGCGTGAAAAAAGCCCTATAAACGATGTTCTTATGCAAAACACAGCATGTGCAATCGTCTAATCAAATTTCCAAACAGAGGAACAGACGAACCGCCTTGTGACAGTGACGATGCAGATCTTCATTCAGTTGCCAATCAAACGCTGGCAGAAGCGCAGCTTGGATGAGCTGCGTAGGCAAGAACTCCTGCCAGCAGCACTGAATGTTATTGCTCCACCTAATGCTGTACTACGACTCAGACTACTAACTGTCCAATTTCATAACAAGCCAAGAGTCCACATTTTCAACACTGCACCACAAGAGAATAAGGCTACAACGCTGCATAATGTAGTTTCTACCAGGTTGTTTAACATTTATCCTTCCTGAGAGCGGTCTCAGTATTGCCTGAATCCCAGCAGATGCTGCAATTCACAAGCCTAAAACAATCAAGCACAGCCTAAATCAAATTGAAATGTGCCGATAATCCCTCTTCACAAAGCATGGCTTAGAGCTGCCTTTGTAGCCCTTACCTAGCACTAAATGTTTAGTTTTGAGATTTACAAGAGTGTTTTCTTGAAGACTCATTAAGCTTTACACTTCCACACTACTTTTGCTCTGATTTATGCCTTTATGGTGCAGTAATTTGTGCTGTACAGACTGTTTGGAAAGAGATAAGGGATAGAGCAGATTCAAGTCACTCAATAACAATGATAAATTAAGAATTCTACTTGGTGAAGTGCCCACTGCCTCTTAAGTAGTTTATTATATTTATAAATGCCACAAACTAAGCAAATACTGTATATACATGCATGTATTTAGTTGTTTTATTGTAGGTATTCTGTTTATATTTCTTTCTGTTTTTTATATTATTAGTATTATAATCACTATTGTTATTACTTTTATTATTATTTTCAATGTTAAAGAATTGAACTGAACAGAATTTAATTGTGAGCGAGAGAAAAGAGAGAGAATTGAAAACTGTATTACAACTGTTTGCATTAAACACCTTAAATTAATTTAACATTTACCTTTTAATAATACACAAAAACAACCAACAAAGTGTTATTACCCTTTTAACATGCCTACATAAGTTGAGAAGAAAAAAAAGAAACTTTCAAGAACCCCAGAGAACAAAGCCTCACTTTTGACACCATTTCATTTCAAAAGTGATACAATCACACATGAAACTTAAAAAATAACAATCGGGAACATTAAATATTAAACATAAATACCAAATCAAATATTCTGGATTTGACTAAACTTAAAAACATAACGTTAATTCCTTTATCTAAACCTTGTTTTTACTGATTTATAGCCAATTCATTTTTATCGATAATAAAATTCGAACAGACAAGTATTTTCTTCCTAACAGATTTAATACCAACGGAAATTACATCTATAAAAGAGAGCACATGCGCGTGACGGAAAACTATTATTAAAATTATAACTATTTCAATATTTTATATTACATGTACTGTATTTATTTCCTTTTTTCAATATTATTATTGTTATTAATACAACAATACATCATTCACAACATAAGAAATGCTTACTAAATTGCATTAATTCGCCTTATTAAAATCATTAAATTATGAGCACGAGAGAAACTATTGTTAAAATTATTATTTTATTATTTTATATTATGCGTACTGTATTTCCTTTAAGGTTATTATTGTTATTATTATAACAACACACCATTCACAACTTAAGTTCTTACTAAACTAAATTATTTTGCCTTATTTAAATCATTGAGTTATGCACGTGCGAGAGAGAAACTATAAATAAAATTATCATCATTTTATTGTTTTATAGTATGTGTACTGCATAAAATTATTTCATTTTTAATATTAATATTGTTATTATTAAAACAACAATAAACCATTCACAACATAAGAGATGTTTACTAAACGAAATTAATTTGCCTCATTTAAAATAAATTATGTTCACGAGAGAAACTATTATTAAAACTTAATTATTTTATTGTTTTATAGAATGTGTACTGCATTTAATTTATTTATTTTTAATATTTTTATTGTTATTACAACAACAATACACCATTCACAACATAGGAAATGCTGATTTTAAGCTTTATTTAAATTATTAAATTCAATTAAATCGTTATTGAAGATATTATTTTTATTCATATTTATTTCTGTCATTTATTTAAATAACTGTATATTATTAATTAATCTGCATATATTTTTATTAATCTGATGATATTAATATTTTACATATTTTATACCTATCTAAATGTCTATGCTTTGGCAAGCCTGTCCAAATGTCTTCCTACCCCTTACTAAAGCTCTCATTATTTACTTGGGTCTCACTTTATATTAAGTATTAATTAATATGTACTTAAACAAGAATTAGTAGTCTTTTACAATGTACTTATTGTGTAAATACATGTATTTACTGTGTACTTATGCTTGATTAAAACATGTATGTAATTACACCTGTAATTAACTTTTGTAGTTACATTTGTAAATACACTGCTGACCATCCCTTACACCTCAACCTCCCCTTAAACCTACCCATACCACCAAACCTGTTCATAACCCAACCTCTATCCCAACTAAAAAGCACTACAAGTGTTCTCAAATACATTAGAAACACAGTAAATACATTGTATTTATTTTTTTTCATGCAAAAATATTTTTTTTCATAATTTTAATAATTATTTATTTTAAATATTTAAATATTTTAAATATATAATTTATATATAAAAATAATTAATTATTTTTAAATATATAATTTAAAAATATTTTTTTTCAATAATTTTTTTTTTTTCATAGTAGTTAAGGACACTTAATATAAAGTGGGACCTTTACTTTTACTCTAGCTGAAATAAAACAAATAAGACTATCCAAAAGAGAAAAATATGATCAGACATACTGTGAAAATTTCCTTGTTCTGTTAAAATAATTTAGGAAATATTTTTAAAAAAAAAGAAGGGATGGAATAATAATTCTGACTTCAACTGTATGTATTTGTTAATTTCTTTTATCTACATGTATTTTTTGAACTTTGTTTATTGTTATGGCTTTAGCAACATTGTGCATTATTCACAGTCATGCCAATAAAGCTCTGAATTCAAGATAGAGAGAGAGAGAGAGAGAGATTAATGACCACCTGCTATCATTTAAGGTTTGGGGAATTAAAGTCATGTCTCTGATAAACAGAGCTAGAGTTTATTAGAGCCAAGAGTACAGTTTAATTCTGCAGCTGATCTGTAATAAGAACAATATGCCACAGCTAGAGCTTAGTACAGTGGCTGTTCAGAAGAAATATGAAAAATAAAGCATCTACTGTAAATGTACACACTGTTCACTGATTTCAGCTCTAGTATTGCTTGTTCTGAACGGTGTGTATAGCAGTACTCTTTGGTTTTTCTGACAGGATCTGTGCAGACAGACAGACAAAGATCTTTTCTTGGATGCACTGGATGTTTGTCTTGTTTTTCCCTGGAACAGGAGCTGTGCTTTATGTCTGGCTGTGGTTTAGAGGATGGGAAGATCTCATGAAAATGAGCCAAAAATATGTTCCAATTCTAAGCCCCTCAGTTGCAGTACAAACGTAATGCTACAGCATACATTGATTTTCTGGATTAACAGACGAGTGCAATGAAGATGTGAAGGATTACTGAATCAGGTTTGCATAAAAATACTTCAATAGTTTTTTACAAAAGACCACCCTAAACCCATGCAAACACTTTTGTGAGGATTTCAATCACGATAAATCACAAACTGATACATCATATTTTACTAGTTATTTTGTAAGATACTTGTATCAGTGTTAATTAGGCAAGTGATGCTGCATAGGTAGTAAAAAATATCATTGGACAACAGTGATTTGTACTGTAGCCAATTGAATATTTTTTTTTTTTGAAGGAGGCTAATAGCTAATAATAATAATAATAATAATACAGACCTTTGAAAAAGGATTCCCCAAGTGATATTTAAAGCAAGAAAACTTTTAAAGTATTTCATGTCAGTGACTTAAATTAAATACCGTTTTGTTTTGTTTTTTGTTTTTGTTTTTTTTTGTTTTTGGGGGGGGGGTTATATAATTATCTTGATTTTATTTAAATATAAAGCATATTACTTAAAACACTACTAACATCTTCACTACCGCTTTTGATGATATTTATATAGGGAAAATTTTAAGATATCACTTTTGAGTTATTCCCTGAAATGATTTTTGCTTTATTCTTTAAACTACATATTACATTTCTTTCTAATTTAAAATAGAAAATAGTCCTTTAGCATTAAACATTTGCATCCAATAATTCAAAAGAGATCATAAATCATCATTTGGTGAATAAGCCTTTTAAAGCACAAGAACAGAAAACATACTAATATGCTAATATCTAATAAATCTAGTAGGGCGGCATGATATTCAAAAAGTCTGACATTGTGTTGTTTTGTTTTTCTGCAACATATATTACAATAAGAATAAAATTGAGCTAGAATCAAGTCTTTTTCTATGCAGAACTCAGCATAAAATACAATAAATTACAAGCATATATGGTACAATTTTATTTTGATGGTCCCTTTGAGGCATTGTGGAATTTAGGTTAAAATGCATCTACATGCCAAATAATTCTCATTAGATTATAAGTAGACTGTTAGGGTTGGGGTTATGGTTAGTGTAAGTTGACATGTACTTGCAAAATTTCTTATAGTCAGGTTAATGTCTGTTGAAGGAGCAGCATCATCAGATATTAATCAGACAGTCTACTAATACTCAATTGAAAAGTAACTGGCATGCAGTTGCAGTGCAACTTTTAGTCAACAAAATGTGCAATAGGGACCATCAAAATAAAGTGTTGCCGCACATAAATATGACAGGGCAAAAATAAAATTGAAACAAACTGTGCTTTATGGGTTTTCTGGGCAGTCTAACAGTATTCAAATACAAAAATTGAACAATCAAACATAAAATAACATGGTCATCACTGTAAAAACTATTTTTATATCAATATAATATTTAATAATATCTTTTAAAAAAATAAATCTAATCCTCTGATGGTACTTGCCCAAATTGCGATATCGATGCTAAAACGATTTATTGTTCAGCTCTAAAATCTAGCCAAGAAATCGAGAAAGTTCTCTTAATTTCTTTTTCACATCCATATATTTATATAAATATTTAATGAATCAACAAACATCACAGTTTTAACTATATTATATATATATATATATATATATATATATATATATAGTACTGATGGGGAAAAAAAGTTGCCTGCATCTCTAATGTGCTAAAAATAATAGACTGCATCTCTCTACAAGGAGGTTTTGCTATTCTTTTCTGATGTAGACGTTTTAGTGTGTGTTCAGAGGGTGGGGAAGGAGTGGCTGCTTCTGTAAAAACCGCACTTCTCTCCACCCACTCATACGCAGAGGCTGTAAACAGTCTCCATTTACATCTGCAGAACCTAGCAAGCACAACTAAATATTATGAAAACTAAGATTAGCGCTCCCTCTATCCCTCCACATCCCCTTTTCCCACCAACAAATTACATCATCACTCATTCCCTAATTCAAGGCCAAATCGACCGTGATCCCCCGTGAGGGAACGCTTCGCCTGCCCCTGATTGATTCCTAGTGTATTCAGCTTGGGAAAATTCATGGAAATCCTGACCTAGGCCAACCCTCCATTTAATAGCAATTGGTTTCTCAACGGACCGTTAACTGTTAAGAGTTTCTGCTCGCTTTGACGCATCGATCTGATCCAGCCCGCTCTCATCGCACATTTTAATCTGTCTTTTTATCCCTTCTGAATTTAAAAAGGTGCTACCGGGTAGGTTTCAGATTTTGTTCATTTAGAGAGATGCTTGTGGGTGGTTCAATAAATAGACATGCATTTTGCATTTGAAAAATTTAAGGGGGAAAATAATACTTATTAAAAGAAACAATTTTTTCTGTCTTTTGTTAAAAACACTTTAATATTTCAGTGATTATCAAACACATCACTTCCTTCGTTCACTTTTCATGGGAAAAAAATTTCAGGGTTGCCTTAATTTGTTCTTATGAAAAGCCAAAAACCAAACTTTGCCAAAGGTAAATGTACTTGCCATGGGCAATTTCCGAATTTGTTAAATATTATTTTAAAATAACTAGACATTACTTTATATTAGAGCTTCTCCAAGTCCGGACTACGGTTCGGATCCTGATCACAAGGGTATTCAATCCATATATATTAGTAGTTTGCCACATTTACATTGTATTTAATGTGTTTAAACGCAAATGCCATTTTATTAAAATAAAAATAAATAGTGTTGACTTGGGATGCATGTTATGGATGTTTATTAAAAACAAGTTATTTAATATCAATTGTTCCGGACATTTGACCTTAATAAAAATTCATATTTGGACTTTTTAAAGTAATGAGAACTCCTGCTTTATATGAACTAATACAACATAATTTTACAGGGAACTTACAGTAAAGACAAACACTCTCTCATTTATGACAGAATAGAGTTACACAGAGTTAGAGTTTTTGCCTTGTTTTGCCCACCGATGTCATCTGCATGCTTTTTTTTAAGCTTAGCAATAAAACAAAAAGAAAAAGGTTACTTCAAGGTAGAATTGACATTCTCTTTTAAATGCATTCACCCCAACCCTCCCCATCATTCTCGATCTCTTCTCAGATGGGATGGTGGGCCTAATCATAGGTTACAATGGGCCAACTTTGTCCTACAGGCCCTACTTTGGGCATCTCTGCTTTAGATTTTTTTTTGTTAGCTCTGTTATGTTAGTACATTTTAAACTATTTCGCCAAATAATCCTACATGCTAGAATAATTGCTAAGAGAACATGGCACTGATAATAAATCATGATTTAAAGAGAATTAAACAACCCTCTGTGTAATCAGTGATAACTTCTGTTACTTTTCATGTGGTATTAGTTTTAACGTTTAACCAAAAACTCAGTTTTGATTTTCATAATTTATTGTTTGATTACACATCAATACACGAAGGAAAATAACTACTGCACTAATTTGGACAAAAAGAAATTGTGATTGTCAGGTAAAAAAAGGACCTTCTTTGCAGAAAAAAAATATTGTTACAACCTGATAAATGACAATGGCTGAAAAAAAATTATGGAAATAACTTAAAATATAACTGTTTTTAAAAAGCTAAAAGAAATAATGACTTTGGACAATAAATACGCCTGCATGTGTAGAATCACCTTTATATTGGTTGGTATTTATAGTGGAGCAGTTTTTGTTTCTACATAAAACCTTTGAATGTTTACGTTAATATAATCATCAGAACTACCCACCCTGTTCCATTTGTAAATGAATGCTTATCGTCTGATAGCCGGAATGTTAAAGGTTATGATATGGGCCTATCATAAAAACTGATTGGTCGTATGGCTGGGAGATATGGCAAAAAAGTAATCTCAATAAATATTTTCCATATTGAACAATGACGATATCCATTTTAATAGAAGTTTATTAACGCTTTCAGATTTAAGGGTACCTCAACGATGCCACAAAAATTAGAGCGTCCATTAAATGGCATAACGTATTCGGCTGAAATTTTCTTTGGAAAAAAATTCGGTGCACCTCTATTATTAACACACTTTTAGATTGCAATTGATGCACATTTCTGCTGTGTGATTGGCTCTTAGATCAATATAGAGTAAAAAGTCCAGAGCTTACTACTGTTATCGACAAATTTTTTATCGCAATTCGATATAATAATGTTTATTGGCTCATCTCTAATTGGTCGGTATTTTGGGAGAACTTACTATGCAGCGGAGTCGTTGAGTTGGTATTCTCTGGCACGGGTGAAGCAATTCTGTACTCCTCTATCAGCCCACAGTCTGCAGATGACATTGGCCAGCTCGTCTGGAAGGATACCCTGCTCTTCTGCTGTCCCAGACAGGGCAAACAACTGACGGGCATCATCCTAGAAGACAAGCAAGTAAACAGAAATACACTTAAAAAAATAATGCACATTAAAGTGCACATGAAATCAAACTAAGCATATGATTTTGTTAGCTCACATTGCTAGTTTTGTGGTGAACAATTCATCTGGGCATGTTATTACAAGAAAAGAAAATTGCCCTTGTAATCTTTAATTGAAATCTGAAAATGCACTTCCTGTTAGTTTGCAGTTAAATTCTTAGATTAGGTTTGTCTGGGGTGTTGGGAGTGGCTATCATTTTTAACCACGCCCCTTCAATGGTCAGTTTTGACAAAAAAAAACTGAAATGGTGAGGAGGTGGTGTCTGTTAGCTCTCCTGGTGCATTTCACCCCATCTTTCTGAATAAAATGCCTACTTTACTACATCCAATCAGCTTGCAGTAAAAAAACAAGCCACGCCTACTGTTTTCTCATTTAATATTCCATTTCTCTAGGAAGTGCATCACAATATATAAAAAAAATAAAAAAATACTGGTGGAAATAGGGTCTGAAAAACGTCAATGTTCTAAAATACATTTAATTGAATCGCTTTCGTAGTGCCAACTCTCATATGGTGGAATGCATACAACCAGCATCAAAACACCACATCAAAACAAGGTGTTTATGCATTGCTGTGCAATAAGAAAAGCAGCTATGCATTAAACAAACCGATGAACAGATGCACTGAAAAATAATAACACACTGATAAACAGAAAGTAGCTTTTTTATTATGCACTATATGGAAAAGAATCAGGAATGCAAGGCAGGTTTATTAAGCCTGACCATATTTAATAACTGTGAAAAATCTGCATTTTAAACATATTACCTCAAAGCAGCTGGTAAGTGACTTAGCAGAACTCACTGCACATTAATCACTGCTTAATTAATTAATTTATTATTTTTTTAATTAAATGGAAGATGTTGATGGTCAAAATTGAAGGTGTTTTTCTAGGTGGTTTTAAAGGAGAGAATATAACATATATTTTCATTTTTCTTTTAGAGTTGTCTATAACATATTTTAACAACTTTTATTGCCTCAATGTTTTTATTATTATTCGTAATTTAAAAAAATAAAGAAAACTTTCTTGCATTCAAAGGATTAAAATGATTGGTAACACTTTAAATGAATGGTCCATTAGTTAATGTTTTTACTAACATGAACAGACAATTAGTAACATTTATTACATGCAATACATTATTTAAGTTAAATCGTGTTAGTTCATGCCAACTCGCAGTGCATTGATTAATGTCAAAAAGCACAACTTTTTAATAATTTGTTAATAAATGCTGAACAAGACTATTCATACTTAATGTTAGTAAATGCATTAACAATAACTAATGGACCATTATTCTAAAGTGTTACCAAATTATCTTATCAAAAACTGAAAACTCAAAAGACTCCCTAAATCATCTTATTGCATTATGCAAATTATGTTAATGACACATTTTTGCATGCTTCATTATTGAAATTAAAGGAATTATAACACAGCATACAGTTCACGTACACACAAATAAAATTTTCTATAGAACATAATATTATATTTGTGCATATACATTAGATTAGTCAATACTGAAGCAAAATCTAAAGCTAATCTTACAAAATAATGTATGATAACGATCCAGATATTAGTAAGTATACAAAAGTATAGTTTAGAGGAAAATATTAAATACATTTTTAGGACAATAATTATGGAGTCAATCTAGGGCCATATATACTTTCAAAATAAAATAAAGTTTTGCAAACGAAAAAATAAAGTATTAAGCCAAAATAAATAAATGCAAATCTCCAAAAAGTGAAAATTGACCCATCCAGTCAATTGCAATGCTCATTTCGATTAGCTTTTTAGTCAACTGTAAGTTTGCGATGCTGTTTTCACTTTGCAGTTTACAGCCTGAAAGTAGTTCACACCCAAGTACCCTCCTAACTTCGCCCCCTTGTCAAATCAGGACCACAAAGTGAAACATTCAGAAACGTGAAGTGCAAAGTTTAACAGCATGGCAAACTTTCGATTGAATATATGCAAATATTCAAGTTTTTATTTTTATTTTTTGCACTGCTTGATTTTTATTTGCAGTTCCTTTTATGTTTGCAAATGTAATTTATATTTCTCAAAACTTAATTTTCCTTTTGCAGTTCTTTTTTTTTTTGAGCAAAACTTTCTTTTATTTTGCAAGTATATGTGGCCCTAGATTGACTCCATAAATGATAATCATTTTAATAATAACTTTGAAATAAAAATAAAGTTGACAAAAAATTTATAAAAAAAAAAAAAACTACAATACTTGTAAAAAATTAGTTTTTGCAATAAATTGTTTGACTTTAAATGTATTATTATCTGTTCAGTGACCAAACTATTATGTAATGAATCAAACTGTTTAATAAAACATGTTCACATGCATCAAAATACATTACCTATATTCACTGAGAAATGAATACAAATATTTATTTGGGGCATACTCATTTACGTCTAGTTTATTTATAAACTACTACTGTAGCTTTTTAATTGCTTTTAGCATTAGCCTTTAACTATTATTTACCTTTTTTTTACATAAGTGACAATTCTTCCCAATTTCCAATAAAAGCAATAAAATGATCAACTACTCTGACAAAAAGCATTACCGGCTACTATTTGCATTTCCTAGGCATCTATAATCATGAAGACAGACTGGCTGCGTGGTGGCATTTTGTGAGGAGGGAGAGTCTTCATCATCTTGCTGTGTGTGCACGTGCATATGTGTGCTTTTGGTATGTGAAGTTTCTTGATGATTCAGAGATTTATTTGCCAAGCAGGTCAAAAGTGCAGTACACAAGCAGGAGCTATGCGTCCCCCGAGAGAGAGAGAAAAAACAGAACTCGTTTCCTGACTGTATCTCTCCTCCTGATTTTACCATCACATCTCAGACTCAACAGTCTCGATCCATTTAAAGCATCTGTCCGTCCGTCTCCCACACGTTTCTACAAAAATAACCGTCTACCTAAATATAAGTTTCTCCACCCAGAGCGCATATTGCAGGAATGAAGCGTGAAGCCAAAACCATCCCACCGCGGGGCTGAACTGGGTCACAGGAAGTCATGCCTGGGGGGCGAAACATGGGAACGGTGAGCAGAAATGACGGGCTCGGAGACATTCAACACGCTCGACCCTGCTCTTCTAGAGGGCGCGATGAATTCTTAACCCTTGTGTGCTGTTGGGGGTGTTTTTATCCATTCTAAGGGTGATTTTGAGGCGTGATTTGGCCACAACTTTCTCTGTGTTTCAGCAAATAGATTGATTTTGGGTGACGAATCTTAATTTGACATATTTTGGGAAAATGCTTCGAAAAGTTTCAAGAATTCAACAATATACTCAAGGCCAGGGGTTTTTCAACTGGATTGGCCATGGGACCCACATTTTTAAATGTTTATCAACCCGTGACCTAAATTTTTAGGAACTATAATATAATTTTAGGAATTATAATTCATTAGTATTTATTTATTAACATACACAAGTAGTGACAGATAAATCATAAGAAAATCTTCAAGACTTAGAAATAAACAATATTTTATTTTTGTCATTTTAAAAAAATGTATTAAATTATAGAAATTTACAAAGTAAAAATGACAAATGTTTGGTTTCCAATAGTGCTTTTGTGAGAGCACGTTACTACATATGACACATTGATGTTTTAAGCCTTTTTTGTCATCAATATATGTAAATCTATTCTTTACATATTCAGGATTGTACTTGCACTTCGACATATTTGTTGCTATAATTAAATAAAATTTCACATGTCAAACGGTACGGTTGTCGCTCGCGCATTTCAAAATAAAAGTCTTACATAAACAAAATAGGTTTAAAATTACACATTTGTTGTTATTTTGACCACACACTTTGCGACCCACTGAAAATGTCCCCGCGACACACCAGTTGAGAAACACTGCTCTAGGAAAATTGACTACCCTATAGTTATGTTCGAGGCTGTTTTTGCAACATTGACTTCCATTATAATAACTTCTTTTTTTTTTTTTTTCAAACACATTACACAATAATCCATTCTTGACAGTTTTTAGTTTTCCCTGTTAAAAAATAAACAAAAGAACAGTAAACATAGCACACTATAATCTGCTGTTTTACTCCATGGAACTCCATATAAAAGTCAGAAACTATTTTTGCACAGGTTTATCTAAAGGGTTAATGCTGCCAACTGATGAACAGTAAAAATACACATTTTACCTCTACCCATGCATGATTATATGATGTCATGGCTTTGTAATCAACAAAATGCGGTTATAATGGAAATTAATGGTGGAAATGGAATTTTCTCTTCCACTCTGACTCTGGGGTGACTTTAAGGTTTAATTCGGCCACAACAGTCACTGTGCTTCACCAAATGAAATAATATATGGTGACAAATCTTATTTCGACACATATTTTGGGAAATGCTTTGAAATTTAAATTTTTTTTAATTTTATTAAAAAATTCTATACACTCTGGGCAAATTTACTACCCTTTTGTTATGTTCGAGGCTGTTTTTGCCCCATTGACTTCCATTATAACCACATTTTTATTTGTAAAAGCCATGACACCAAATAATCATGCGTTGTAGATTGTTGGTGGTTTTCCCTGCTAAAATAACATACAAAATTAGCACCTCAGCTCTCAGAACATATTGAACGTAGTAAGTTTATTTAAGCACGCACACTATAATTTGCTGTTTTACTCCATAGAACTCCAAATAAAAGCCAGAAACTGTGCACATACCTATCTAAAGGGTTAATGCTGCCAACTGATGATCAACAGTAGAAACTACGAATTTCACCTCTTCCCAACAGAGAAAACCACCAACAATCAAGAATTATTTGGTGTCATGGTTTTGCAAGCAAGAAATGTGGTCATAATGGCAGTCAATGAGACAAAAACAGGCACAAACAAAACAAAAGGGTAGTCATTTTGATCAGTACACAAGAGTTAAATATATTAAACAGATCCTTAAATTTGAATTTGGCCATTTATATGAATTTGTTTCTGTTGAACATGGCTTTGCAATCAAAAAATGTGATTGTAATGAAAGTTAATGGGACGAAAAAAAAGCCACGAACATAGCAAAAGGTGAATTTGAAGATACAAAAGGATTAAATATATTAAACAGATCCTTGAATTTGTTTTTGGCCATTCATATGAATTTGTTTTTGCTAAACATGGCTTTGCAGTCAGAAAATGTGGTTATAATGGAAATCAATGGGGCAAAAACAGTGTACTGCTGTAAGATTACACTTCGTAAAAGTTAAACAGCTCAGTGTTTTGCAATTCAAAATTCAATAAACTTGAAAATTCAAGGAATATCTGTTTCGAAACAGGAATATTGTGAGACAGGAATACTTTAAGTCCTTTTAATAGTTGGTGGAAAAAAGGCTGTAGATATGAATAGTAGATAGTTATAGGCCTTTTAAAAGATTTACGGCCTCAGGAGTGAAGAAAGAGGGGGGGAAATAAGGAGTTACAGCGATCAGTCCCATGGGATGTTGACTGCACAAACTGTGACATATGGCTAACACATGCACTCTCATATGGTTTAAAGATATGCTTGCTGATGCTCCACTTCTTGTCTTACGCTCAGCGTTGCGCGCACAGTGTTTCTAATTAAAGAGCCAATAAAACATGGGGATGGTCGAAATTTTTGAAGACCATTTACATATTTCGATTTTTATCTCTTTTAAAAAATCAATTATAGATAACATCTCAACTGCCTGTCATTACTGATATCTGCAAATAGTATGGCTGCACCAAATGGGGAAAAATCTAATTATGATTCTTTTGATTAAAAGAAAAAAATGCATTTGTAATTTGTAAAAATGTATTCCAGGTTTATTGTGCTTGCGTGTACGTGTTCACAATTAGGTTTAAATCAATAATTTTAGCTACATATCAATATTAATAATAATAATAATAAAAATAAAAATAATAATAATAATGATGGTGATAACAACAACAACAACAACATCAACTATCATTATTATTGTTATTATTATTAATAATTAACTATATTATTGATTTGAGCCTAATTTTGCCTAATTGAGACTAACTGATATTATTGATTTGAACATAATTGAGCCTAACATCACCATCATTAATATTCTTATTATTACTATGAATAATAACAATATTAACAATATAAAATGAAATACTAAATAATATCAATAATATTGGTTAATATTAATAATATTAACAAATGAAAAAGACATTTTAAACAACTGTACTGTAAAAAAGTATTTTATAAAAGTTTTTTTTTTAAATCATGACAGTAAAACAGTAAATAAATTTCAATCGAAAGTTTGTAATAATAATAATAATAATAGTAATAATATCAAATTATTGTTATTATATAAATATTATGATGATTTTTATTATTGCTAATATTATTATGTAGTTGGTAATAATATATTTATTACTTTAATAATTATTAGATTATTATTATTTAAAATATTATACATAATATAATAATAATAATAATAATAATAATAATGAAGATGAAATAATAATTATTAAAATAATAATATTAATGATATTAATAATAACAATAATATTTATACTAATGATGATGATATAATAGTAATTATTATTATTAAAATAACAACATCGATGATAAAGATATAATAATAATAAATATAATTAAAATAATGATAATAATATTAATAATAATAATAATAATTATTATTATTATTATCATTATTACTATTATTATTATTATTAGTAGTAGTAGTAGTAGTAGTATTATCACTACCACCAACTACTTTTAATTGATTTTTTGACAGTTTTACAGTTTTGATTTTTATAAATAACTATTTTAACAATAATTCCGTTTTACAGTGTGGTTATTTAACATTTCTTAAATTTTCATTTACATTGAACCCTCTCCATGGTAATTAGAAACAACACCTGATATTTTTTAACCCAGCCCTACAATAAAACAGTAACCCTAATTATGGCTTAAACTTTTTGATAAATTGTTTTCAATGCATGCAAATCATTCATTAAAGAAGTATAAAGCTGATTCAGGACAACTAATTTGAGAAAATTGTATGAAAATTGTGTGAAAACATGTACATCAATGATCAACAAATGAATTTCAGCTTTCACAAGGTTGATGCGTTTCCAAATTCAGCCTTTGAACTCACGTTAAATGGCTCAGAAATCTAACTGTATGCAGTCTATTAGACTAGCTAAATAACCCAGGATTTCCTCAACACGCACTAGTTAACTACTTATCCAGACGACCCACTGACTTCCCAGTCATTGGTTGAGCACATCTCTCATCAAACATGCCACGAACGAGAAAGCAAGCAAGAGCGAGACACACTTGAGGAATGTCTCCAACAGATCTCTCTCTCACTAATTAAATGTGATGGAGAGATGTTGTTAGCCTCTCTAACAGCACTTTGCAGCTCAATTCCCTAAGCGGAGACACAATCATCCATCTCTCCCTTCACCCGCCTAATTAAACCATACACTGCTGCTACACACCAAAAATAAAGGCTCTGTTTCCTTTTAAAAGAGCCATATTCTTGTCTTCTGCTGCTTTTTAAAAAGATATTAGGACTTTTAATAACACGTCTCTTTCAAGACTCCTATGTCCAACTTGTTTCCATTTAGACAGCGTTAACCCTATAGATTGTCAATGACTGTAAATTGTGGTGTGACGTAATATATGGCGAGTGTAAATCAGTGCTGACAGAGATGGAGTGTATCTCTCCAGAGCATCAGGTGGATCAGATGCACTGAACATACTGCTGCCCTTCAGGCTGTTCTCTTTAGATCTGCGCTAGCAAGCTAACACTCTTACTTCCTTATTCTCTTTCTTTCCCTTGCTTTAAGCTTCATCTGTCCTCATGAAAGTCTTGAAGATAAGTTCATAGAGAGAATAAAAAGCTGAATAAAACATTTGCTGCGTTATGAGGGATCTGTAGTCCTTTACAGGAAGAATAGACAATGGATTACTAATAGGACTTTTACTTTGTATTTTTCTCGAATTTAAAAGATGATGCTCTCCAATGCGCTTCTTTTCTATTTTTTTCAATGTAGAGATGAACTTAATGAACGTGTGTGGCCGTGTCTCGTGACTTGAAGAGCTGGGGTTTTTTAGATGCCACACGAAGTTAAAAGAACTTCAACTTTCACATGCAGTGTTGCTCATTACTGTCAGTTCCATAGCAGTGGACCAATCAGAAGAGCTCAGAGGTGGGGCAACCATTACAAGTATGTGTTTACAGGCGCTCTGAGGTTGTGTCCAGATACGCTAACGGTTTATGCTGTGCTTTTTTTTTTAGCAAACCATTCTGAACCATTGCGTGTAGTTTTTTTTTTTTTTTTTAAAAGTATAAGCGTGTCCGGAGTGAATGAGTCAACAGTAGGCCTGGGGCGGTATCCAAATTTTGATACCATCAAACCTCCTCCCTATTTTACCCCGGTATCTGGTATTACCGTGCACAATTACAAATATGACGTAAGGCTCAGACAGCATCACTAAACTGTTGGCTAGTGCCTAAACCATTCAGAAACTGAATACCATATATGCAACCTTAGGATCGCGGTCACCTGTTTGTCTTGTTTGTATTCTTCTGCGCCGGACGCTCTCACGCACGCACACACAGAGAGAAAGAGAGAGAGAACCAAGCGACGCACAGGATTGCTCTCTCTGTCTCTCATTCACACACACACACACACACACACACACGTGCACATATAGGGCTCAACCTGTGCGGTGCACATGCCCTTTTTAGTGTAGGATAAAAAGTGCCTTTCCAAACTGATCTGAAGTGCCCTCGCGACAACCACCCCCCGCTCTTCATTTCGTCTCAACCAACACCCCCCACACCCCGCTCTTGAGTTCGCGACAACACCCCCCCCAACCCCCCTTCACCACATTTAATTTATATTTAAATGTACATCATCACTTTTTAATCATCACTTCAAAAATTACACAATTTCAGCTTTAAAGAGGCTGTGGTTTTCCAAATTCAGCTCTTTACCATGAAAATGCATCTGCTTGGTGTCTATAGAGAACATGACCCTGAACTAGTTTAATTTGACAGAGTTTTTACTATCACGCATTTTTCAACAGTAGCAAGAAAACTAATCAGACTGCATGCTGACAGTCAAAAAACTGGCTGTAGAGCAGGATCATGTGACTCTGGAGGGCCTCTGAGATAATCTGAGAGTGTATGTGTGTGTGTGTGTGTGTGTGTTACTGTACAATGGATGTGTGTGATTTATTTGCTGAGGGAATGCAGTGTGTACTCACCGCTCTTGCGCTGTCCTCATATTCGATCTTGAGGCTGGTCATGGCTTTAACGATGGCCATGATGGACTGGATGGTGTTACTGAAGACCACAGCTCGATACTGCTTGCACTCTTCCTCTGAGTAGCCGTCCTCATGGATAATCCTGCAGAATAGACACACAAATGTTCAACTGATCAGTGTTGTATGAAATATTTAGCGGCGTGCATTAAAATTTTATTTGAATTGTTTTAATGTGAGATTGTCCATGTGTGCATTTATTTTATTGCTTTAATTTCTTTTACAATTGAAACAATTTGTGGTTTTTATTTAGTTATTTAAAATATTATATTTATTAAATGTATTGCTAGATTTCTACAACTATTTCTATGACTTCATTACAGTAACAAAAAATCCTAATAGTTGTTATTATTTTGAACTTTCTACTAAATAATTCCAAGATTTCTGAGAAAAATAAATAAATAAATAAATACGTTTCAATAAAAATATTTTTAGTGTTTTAATTGTTGTAACTGAAAATATTTAATGAGCGCCAAATTATTGTTTTATTTTTTATGATTGATATAAATGGCTGTTTTTATTTAGTTATTAAAAATATTATATTTATGGCTATACTTCTAAAAATATTTGTATGGCTTTATTAGAATAACAAAAAAAAACTAAAGCAATAATGGCTTTTTTTTTTTTTTTTTTTTAGAACTTTCTATATTTCCGAGTTTGCTGAAAAAAAAATTTAATAAATAAATCTGTTTTTATAAAAACATTTTCAGTGTCTTCATTGTTGTGATTAAAAATAACTATTGTGTTCCAAATTATTATTTTTTTTTTTTTGTTTTAATTTTTTAAGTTATATTTATTATTATATTTACTGCTGCATTTCAAAAAACATTTGAATGAATTTTACAGTAACTAAAATTCACTTTTATTTTAAACTTTCTATATTTCCAAAATTTTAGAGAAAAATAACTAAATAAATCAGTTTCTATAAAATATTTTCAATGTTTTCATTGTTGTGATTAGAAATATTTCATGAGCTCCAAATTATTTTTTATTTTTTTACATAATTGAAATAAATTGTTGTTTATTTAATTATTAAATTCATCAAAAATATTATATTCGATATTAGATTTATTGATTTATTTCTAAAAAAAAATTGCACGTATTTATTAAAAAACTTGATTTATTTTATTTTGAACTTCATATAACTCCAAGATTTCAGAAAGAAAAATATAAATCTGAAAAATATAAAAAATATATCTGTATGAACTGCCTACTTTAACAAAAATCCTAATAATTGCTTATTTTGAACTATCAAGATTTCCAAGAATTCAGAGAAAAATAAATAACCAAACCAAATAAATCTGCTTCTATAACAATATTTTCAGTGTCTTCATTGTTGTGATAAGAAATATTTCATAAATGACCTTCAAATTATTATTTGTTGTTATTTTAAAATAATTATATTAAATTGCTGTTTTAAATTAGTTAAAGTATTTAATTAAAGTATTATTAAAGTATTAAAGTATTATTGCTATATTTAAAAAAAATGATTATTGATATATGTAATACATGTAATATAATATGAGTTTATAATATAATATAATGAGTTTATAATATAATATAATATAATATAGTTTATTTTAAAATTTTATATTTAATGAGCTCCAAATCACAATAATTAAAAGATTTTCAGGCTTTGAATAATTAATGGCTGCAGAAAAATCTTCTCTGCAGCTGCAGAAATAACAAATTTAACAAAAAAACTTTGATTTATATTTTTAAGTTTTATATTATGCTTATATTACTGTGTTTGTTAAAATAAATACAGCAATTATGACCTGACCTTTGAAAATAAATAAAAATCTTCCCAAGCACAAACGACAAACGGTAGCAATTTTTCATGTTGCAAATAAATACATATCATGTCAATCATATTCAATATTGCTAAATATTAGGTAAAGCAAATATAAACACAAAATAATACAACTGAGAACAAAGTCAGATTGGCACCAAAGAAAGAGCTGACATTAGATATTTGCTCAAAGCCTGCCAGAAGTATCCAGTCGTAATAAAAAATGTATTAATATCTCCAGGCTTTTGCAGTGGATGAAAAGTAACCACTGAATTGATTTGAAGTGCTGATGTGAATTGTCCTGTGGATCTTGTCTGCCTGCAAATCTATAGAGATTTCTTTTTAATAATAATATTGTCAGCTCTGGCTCCTGCGGATGTGAGAGGGAACCTTTTGCAATCTGGTATAAAGCCAAGTAACCAAAGACACTCACAAAATGTAGACTACTGTCTCTGATATAGGTACAAATATTTTCTAGAACAATTATTCAACAACATAATTAAATTACAAAATGAGTGCTGTGATTGTGCCCCAGATCAAAGCGTGTGGAAGCTTTTAGTAATGAGATAGTAAGTCATCTCAGATATGTAGTAAACACTTTTCCATCAGAGTGATTAGTGTGTAAAAGTGCTTTGGGAAACAGAGGCGTAGGGGAAGCAGCAGAGGTCAAGGTCAGATAAACAGTATTAACTGCTGCCAGAGGCCCAAACACACACACAGACAGACAAAGCTGTTTAAGTCAGTGTGTATGAGAAGACATGCACATGTATAGAATTTATCAGTGTTAAGGCCACAATAATTTAGGTATGGTTCTCATTCAGATAGGACTTTGACTGAATATTAAAATAGATTAGTGTCACAAATTTCTAATTTCTTCTTCTTATTATTATTGTTGTTATTATTATTATTATTATTATTATTATTATTACAGTTACTAAACAAAATCAGCTCAACTGATTTTCTTGTTCTTTGAAATGAGTGACTGAACCTGTCAAAATGAACAGTTTGACTGAAATGAATGCCTCCGAGCACTAATCTAGAGATGGAGCTCTGCGCTTTGTTTATGAGCACCGTTAAGTTCATTAATCAGTAGGGGTGTCACGATTTCGATTTTTAATCGAAATCGATCGAAATTTATGCTCAATTTCGATTATCGAATCAAAAAATAGAATCGTCGATGCTGCCACGCCCCCATGTCACGTCAGCTTGGCTTGCCAAGCGGGAAAAAACAGGCTTGTTGAAGTGCTTGTTAAACAGCAGAAGCAGGAGACCCGTCGACAGAGCTTAAACCCTCTCCTCTTTCAATGATGTCGCCGGTGTGTAAGTATTTTGGATTTCCAGTGAGTTATGTTGACAACGTTCGTGTTGTCGACAAAAAAAACACAGTTTTGCAAGCTCTGCTATGTACGTATTACGTATGGTTCGTCCGATAGACAACATCGGCATCGCGATCCTCTGCCCGCCCTCGTTGCAAATCCGCTCGCGAAAAGTACACACTCAGACCCTGTTTACACTGTCTTTGTTTTTAAATGGCATATTAGAACGACAACGATTTGACATCCACAGTGGCGTGTAGCATTTCTGAGCAGAGCAGCCCTCCTTCCTCTCTACCTCTGACACACACACACACAGACGCACAAACACAGCCATGGGCTCGAGACAGCGGGTTTAGGCAGTCAGAGGATCAGTAGACTGCTTCAATCTTTCACTCACTTGTACTTAGTCATTTCAGCGAACACCTCAGATACTGTTGGCTGGTTCCTGTTGGTTGTGCGTCTTTTTTACCGACGCCATTATAACGACACAGATCACTGCCTATTCACGAGTCCCACAGAAAAAGTGATTGACAGGTGGTAATTATGTGTGTCATTTACTGTATGATTTGTTTATGGGTAAAACAAAGACCACGCAGGTCAGGTAGTTTAAACGGTAGGCTACAAATAATTAATTGGTCATTAATTAATTAATTATTCATAATCGAAAATCGAATCGTGCCTTTAGAATCGAAAATGTAATCGAATCGAGGATTTGGAAGATCGTGACACCCTTATTAATCAGTGAAGGCACCAAAAAAACAAAACAAAAAAAAAACACTCCCAACATGCCATATAAACAGATTAGTATGTGTGAGCAAGGGCGAAATTTTCCTTTTTAACATGATTTTCATTGCAGCTTTGCAGCTGTTCCCTCTCATAACATCAACACCAGCGTCAACAGCTGGTATTCAGAAACACATCTTAAAGAAAGTCAAAGAATCTGAAGAGAGAAAACATCATTCACTCACTTCATCTGTTTTACGATGGTGCTCTTCCCCGATTCTCCAGCACCTGCGACAAAACAAACAAAACAAACAGGGTTAAAAAACGACACTCATGCGCACGCTTCATCTTCAGACAGGAAAGCAAGAGCAAGAGTGTCTAGTCAGAGTATTAGCACTAATGCCCAACACGCTAATGTGTGTGTGAGTGTTAAAGTACAGTATGCATATGTGGGTGTGTGTGTGTGTGTGTAGCATTTATTTCCAGTAACTCAAGTCTTGCTGACTTAGCTGTCGATCTCCAGCATTCCGCTCTCTCCCAGACCTGGTGTTTATCAAGTTTGGCCTTTAATGGAGATGTCTGAGTGCTTCACAAACAGGAAACGGGGCCTTATCAGGGTAATTTCCACAGGCTTGCGGGGGCACGCTACACATCTGACATCTAACTCCCTCATTTCATCATTACATAAACACACAAAACATAACGGCCGCCGTACTATACGGTCAACAAGCTACCACGAGCACCATCTAGCATCTCAAAAACAAGCATGCACACGTCATTTTGATGCATCTGATGAGGAGACGCATTTGCACTACAGGCAAAGAGTTTGTGTCAGCTGTTAAAGCTTTTTCAACTTTGATAATGCACAATACATTCTTGAGGATCAAATCATCATATTAGAAAGATTATAAGATTGTGACATCACAGACTGAATAGTTTTAAAAAGACCAAGCATTTCTATCATAGAAACAAACAACATATTAAAACAGGCAATATTTATTATAAGCGTGAAATTTTTACAATTTTGCAGTTACAGTGTACAATATAAGAGTGGTTTTCTCCGGGTAGGCATGGGCTGGTATAGAATTCTGACAGTATGATAACCTTGGATAAAAATATTATGGTTTCAACATTTTGCGGTATTGTGATTACTGCTCTAATATATAATTTTTAATTGTCTGGGTAAAAAAAAAAAAATCTTTTTTTTCCCTTTTGAAAACAATATATTTTATTTTGAGAAACTATTTTGAAACAGAAAATAGAAAATATAATAAAAAAAGAAAATATTTTGGAATAGTAAATGTGTCAGGCTAAATGAATTATTGACTTCTGCTGTGTTTATTTGTTACAAAAACTGTTTTTTTTACCATTTATAACAGCATATTTTCTGCTATTGTCTTAAAAAACAAACAAACAAAAAAAATCTTACACATACCTTAGGAATGCTATTGTAGAAAATTTTGACAGGTTTAAAACATTGACTTTTAAAAACCGTGGTATACCTTGAAAACGGTTATAGTCCCATGCCTACCTCAGGGTGCTCCGGTTTCCCCCACAGTCAAAAGACATGTGCTGTAGCTGAATTGGGTAAGATAAATTGCCTGTAGTGTATGTGTGTATGCCCTGCTCCTCCAGACTGGGGGTTGAGCATTGGGCTAACAACTCACCTCATAAAAACTAGATGTTACGAAACACCAATATGGTGCGGCTAAATATCAACTTCAATATAAATGGCCCTGGGAGTAAGTATAGTGAGCATTTGGATGAAATCTTACAAAAGCAAGGCAAATATAAACAAAGCACAAGAAAGAAATAAGAAATCCTTGCCTTCTCTGCATTACTGACCAGACAACTGATTCTTCTCAGGTAGAAAAAAAGCAAACCCACCAACCCACAAACACTGGATATTAGAAGTGTTAGCACAACTTTAACTCGAGCACCTTAAATACACCTTCCAAGTATCTACAAAAAAATTTTTCATGAGGTTTGGCAGCCTTATATCCAGGGGTTACTATATCCTAAGAGTTTACTCCCAGTATGCGAGTATGTTTATAGCTATATGAACCGTGTTAATATGTTGTTCAATATGTGTTGTGGGAAAATTCAACACTATTGAAGATCAGTAAAAATATCTGGATAATAATTAATGCAACAAAAAGTCAAAATGGTACAAAAAGAAAAAGCTGACATTTGATTTTAGCTCAAAAACTCACATAAATATCAAGATGTAACAATGTTTGTATCACATGATTTGCCACATTGAGATGCCACTGGCTGTCAGTCTTGCATTTTTACACAGCTCTAAACACACACATTATGCTGCAAACTGAGTGGAAAATGATGCTCTACTGAAATTGGATTTGAAGATGCAGAAAGAGGTTAGTGTAAAGCAAGGTAAATATGCATGATAGTGTGTTAATTGATGTCCTACTGAGTTCAACATCATAGTGTTGGCACACCTGTCAACGTGCCGAACTTTCACACCCACTTGATCTACGCCAAGAGACAACTTCACACTTGAGCAGCTGCTAGCAACACTTAAAACATGCTAAATCACTTCACCCACATCTTAAGTAGACTGCAGCCGTCTGCCATGCATCGGTTTGTGGTTTTCATTTGTGCTACTACTGCATGTTTAGAAGATCAGCATTAAGCAAACGCCTTTTTCATTTGCTTTTTCTCTCCATGTTTACACATTTTCTCCTTTTTATTTCTTTAGATTTAGTTTGAATGGCGGCATTCGTAAAAATGTAACAATGTCAAACTTCACAACATTTTTCAATAAGATCAGACTCAATGTTTTTGTTATTAAATGTTTATTTAATGTTGATATTCATTTCTTTTGCATTTTACACACCCCCCCCCCCTTTTTTTTTTTTAGATTTTTGCACAATTAGTTAAAAATGCAACAATTTTAAATTACATTTTTTCCACTAAGTTCTGATGCAATGCTTTTGCCTTTAAATGTTTTTTAAATGGTTAATGTTTATTAATTTCTTTTCCATTTTTTCATCATTTTTTATATATCTTTTTTATTTTATAGCTGTGCCTTTACTGAATGAGCACTTTGTTATTTCCAATAAATCGCTCCATTATGTCTTTCCTTTCTTTCATTCTTTTATAATCTGTTTTGCCACATTTTAATCTGTTTTTACTTATTATTTGTTTTCATTTTCTTACACTTGTCTCTTTTATTCCTGTTTATGTAAAGCACATTGAATTGCCACTGTGTATGAAATGTGCTATAGAAATAAACTTGCCTTGCCTATATATAATTTAATGGCATTAGTTAAAAATTCAACAATTTTAAACTTCATAACATTTTCAATAAGATCAGATTCAAGGTTTTTGTTTTTAAATGTTTATAATATGTTTAATGTTTATAATATAATGTTATTATTCAAAAAAAGGTAATGATTCGCACTCAATTGCTTCGTACTGTTTTTGTTTTTTATTTTTCTTACATTTTACGGGTGATTAAAAGTTTCGGCACAAAGCCTTCCTCATTGTGTAATATAGTATAATATAATGTTAACATTTATTTCTTTTCCATTTTACACATTTTCCCATTTTAATTATATATATATATTTTTTAAAGAGTTTTTTTTAATGGCGGCATTGATTAAAAATGCAACAATTTCAAACTTCAAAACATTATTCAATAATATCTGATTCAATGTTTTTGTCTTTATATGTCTATTTAAATGTATATTTACCATTTTATTCGTTTTTTCCATTTTACACATTCTCATTTATATTTTTTTATTTTTTAAATTGGCAGCATTAGTTAAAAATTCAACAATTTCAAACTTCATAAGATTTTTCAATACGATCCGATTCAATGCTTTTTAAAAATATGTTATGAGGTTTGAAATTCTAAATATGTTATGTATTATATTATATGTATTATGTATAATATGTATTATTATATATAATACAGTTTTAAATGCTGTTATAACTTAAAACACAGAATAAAAAATAAGATTTTTCAAATGTATGCTTCAGTACGTGTAGTTTATGAAACTTCAGCTCTACATTACAACAAACAAGAAGTTTCTATAAAAAAAGAATAATAATTCAAGTCACGGTTCATACAAAATTAAAGAGCTGGCGCATTTAACCTCTTAATGCCCAATGTGTTTTTTACATGCATTTTTTATTTCTCTTTGCTATTCGGGCTTATTGGAACCTAATTAGAATAAAAACTCAAGTATCATCCTTTTATATCATGTACTTTTAGAGAAAAAAAATATGTCCTTATATGTGGACTCGTAGTCCAAATTTACATAAAACACTTTTTCCCTGACTAATTTTATATATATATATATATATATATATATATATATATATATATATATATATATATATATATATATATATATATATATATATATTTTTTTTTTTTTTTTTTTTTTTTTTTTTTACACGTTTAGAATATCAGAGTTAAAAACAACTTTTCCCCCCCATTTTAGACAGTTAAAAATAGTGTTTGAGACATTTTATATGCTGCAAAACAGTTGCAGTATGACACTGTATGTCTGTAACAAAATATAAACCATTCAAAGTATTTTAAATAGCCACTTAAGAGCTAAAATGTGCTGTCCACATATGTGGCCACTAAGCCCTAGGAGGTTAAAGCAACCTTTTAACTAAACTTAAGTTGTTGCTTGTAATAAAAAACACATTATTTTTTATTGACATTATCCTAACTCATAGGGCATTACTCACATTTCTAAAAAAAAAAAAATTCCTAAGATATTTGATGAGTATATTCATAAGTAAATAATCAAACAGCCACAAAAAAACGCAAGCAGTGTGAACTGATATTGTTTTCAATCCCTGAGAGGACAGACAGGAGACAGGATGGCCTGATGGGAAAATAAATGACTGTATGACTCAACACATCTATTGTGTTTAAGCGCTCATGCATCTAGCTGTGCACCTGCAGGATGTATGTTGTCCGACAAAATGGCAGCACTTCCACAGAATGTGTTTTAAATTGTAACAAAAGATGAGCATGAGCAGCACTCAAACAAACAGTAAAGCTGTGTGAGGGATTAGCAGTAAAATTCGCTCTTAAAGAAACAGAAATGAAGAACCCTGAAGCTAGCTACTTCTCTCTGATTTACCCAATTACAGTTATAGATCCTCCACCAGGACTCAGACCTGATATTCATGTCCCTTCTCTCTCACAAAACTAATTTTATACATTAGCAGCAATTCCACCTGGACGGCAGACGGCCTCTTCCTGTACCTAAAACCATTTATTACACTATGGCCTGTATTTT